AACTGAGATTCCCATCTTCCTTTCAAGTAGACACTAAAGATCCCCTGGCACTGTTCAAAAGAAAAAAAGAGAAGGGAGTTTTTTCTTGGTGTCCCTGCCAGCAATCCTCAATTAAAATTGGTCATCCATTTCATGGGTCTTTGTGGGACATTGCTGTGCGCAAATTGACTTCTGTGTTTGTCTACAAATGAAAAGCCATTCTATTTTACAGAAACCTCCAGGGGCTATATCAAATGCAAGGATTATTACCCACTGTAAGCTTGATGTAGTTTTACAACAACAAGATTACATTTGTATAGCGCCTTTCAAGTCATGAGGACGTCCCAAGGCGCTGGACAGTGTACAGCATTTCAGACCCGAGCTGGGGTTAGGGGGGGAGAAGGGAGGGGAGGGGAAGGGGGTGGCCGATGGCATGGTTGAAGAGGAGGGTCTTGAGGAGGGACTTGAAGGAGGATAAGGAGGGGGTGAGTCGAAGTGACTGGAATTCCAGAGGTTGGGGGCAGAGTGGCTGAAGGCCAATGGTGGGGTTGGTGGGTCGGGGGACGTGGAGCAGCCGGAGCCGGCTGAGCGGAGGGAACAGGCGGGTTGGTAGGGGGTTAGGAGGTCGCAGAGGTAGGGTGGGGCGAGGCCATGGAGGGCTTTGTATGTGAGGACCAGGATCTTGAACTGGATCCTCTGAAGGACAGAGAGCCGATGGAGTCGGGCGAGAGTGGGGGAGATGAGGTCACGGAGTTTGGTGCGGGAGAGGACATGGGCTCCAGGGTTCTGGCTTATCTGCAGCTGTGGAGGGAGGAGTTGGGAAGGCCGACAAGCAGGGAGTTTGCATAGTCGAGCCTGGAGGTGATGAAGGCAAGAGTTTCAGTGGCCTGAGGGATGAGGTAGTGGCGGAGTTGGGCGATGTTATGGAGGTGAGGGAAGGCAGAGCGGGTCATGGCTTGGATGTGGGGGAGAAAAGACAGTGGAGGGTCGAACAAGACACCCGGGTTCCTGACTGACTGGTGAGTTGTAGTGTGCAACCATGGAGGCTGATGCTGCCAGAGCTTAGTTGGATCATTACCTGATTGCTGTACTTTGGTCTTGTTATGCAATCCTTGTTCAACATACCCAACTTCCTAAGGTTAGGTCCATACTGTACAATTATAGAATGACCCTAAACTGAAACAGACCATTCCTCAGTAGAGGGGGTTTCCCTCACCCCCACCACCCACATACATCATACACCTAATCTAATCCCACTCTGATCCCACATCTCACCAACCCCACCCCCCACCCCCACACAAACACACCCTTTAGTTCTCCCTTATCCAAATAAACCAAAAATAAAATAAAAATAAAGAACAACTGGTCATTTATCGCTGTCCCTGGGACATTTTCAGATAAAACACCATAATGGCCACTTAACAGTGCCCTTACCCTTCAAAGTAATTTGTGTGCAAATTGGCTGTCGTGTTCGCCTACAAATATTCTGTACAGTACATCCTGCGAATCACTTTCAGACATTTTAACAATGTGATGAGGTGCTATATCAACTGCCTATTATTATTATTATTATTGCGTTAAGCTCTTTTAGACATTTAATACATTTTTGGGTGAGGCTTCATATCAAATTGCAAGTATTATTTTGGTAAAATTGATAAATTGTCATCTTTGTGTATCTTTGCCTACAAATAAACAGTCACTGCTTTTTACTGTAAATCCTGTGAAGTGCTTTGAGCTGTCCTCCCAAAGTAAGAGGCGCGAGGTTTGTTATTATGTAAGCGGAAGGGCTTGGGGAAAACAAGTCAAGTCAGTGTAACATTAACCAGATTGTTGCTGCGCTCAATTCTTCCAGGAAATTATATCTGGATCTTGACAAATTGAAAGCTGCCGCGGCAATGTCTACCTCAGACTACTGATTAGACACGAGCAAGGCCATGATATACAGAGATGGTGGGATAGTGCTCTGTGAATTTCTCTTAACTGCTATGTTGTTTTACTGCACTCAGCATAAGAAACTGATGTTCCAGAGGGGAAAATAATATAACAATAAGAGAATAGGTGCAAATCTTGAATTACTGTAAGAATATCGCTAAACAAGAGACTTAAAAGACATGCAAGATGTACCATTGTTTTGCTGGATAATCGTATGCTAAAATGTTAATACAGTATATGTTTATATGTCCTCCGGATGTAAAAGGCGCTTTACAAATGTAATTTTGTTGTTGATGTTGCTTCCCCCACCTCCACAACATTGCTCGGCTCCGACACTGTCTCATACTGCCGCTGAAACCCTCATACACGGCATTCATAACATCCAGGCTTGACTATGCAAACTCCCTGCTTGTCGGCCTCCACAACTCCTCCCTCCATAGGCAGCAGATCATCCAGAACTCAGCAGCCCGTGTCCTCTCTCGCACCAGGCTCCATGATCCTATCACTCCCATCCTCATCCAACTCCACTGGCTTCCCATCACACAGAGGGTACAGTTCAAGATCCTGGACCTCACCTTCAAAGCCCTCCATGGTCTTGCTCCCCCCGACCTCTGCGATCTCCTAACCCCCAACCAACCTGCTTGTTCCCTCTGTTCAGTGGGCTCCAGCCTGCTTCACATCCCCCGCCTCGTTCGCCCCACCATTGGCAGGTGGGCCTTCAGCCTCTGTGTCCCCACCCTCTGGAACTCCATCCCGCAATCCCTCCCCCTCCCTCGCCTCCTTTAAGGCCCATCTCAAGACCTTCCTCTTCGACCGTGCTCCTTCCACCCCCGCCCTCCACCCTCCCTGATCCTGACCCCCAGCTCGGGTTCGAAACACTGACTGTCCAGCACATTTGGACGTCCTCCCGACATGAAAAGCGCTGCACAAAAGTAATTTTGTTGATATTGTTGTTGAATATATCTGTCTTCAATTCTTTGCATTACTGATTAGGATCAGAGATGGCACTATAGTGCAACGTGTCCCTTTTCCGGCACATTGTGGTATGGAGCAGATTTGAAACTGTATTCTCCCATTTATAGGCACATTCACATCTGGGGACCCAGTTGAGGTGGGGTTAGGGTTAGGGGACGTGAGAGGGGAGAGGAAAGAGAGAGACAGAGAGAGTGTTTGGGGAAGATTTTTTATAATTTTTGAAAAATATGTTTTGCCCACAAAATACAGTCAATTATACAGCACAGAAGGTGGCCATTCGGCCCATCATGTCTGTGGCGGCTCTTTGAAAGGAGCTTCCAATTCAATCCCACTCCCCCGCGCTCTCCCCGTAGCCCTGCAAACTTGTCCTCCCCAAATAATTATCTACTCCTCTCTTAAAAGTTGGTATCGAATCGGCTTCCAGGCAATGCATTCCAGATCCCAACAACTCTATGGATTCTATATGTTCTGTGCTCTAACAGACCCAAGCACAGCTGGGTACATGGAACAAATTGTAAAAGTTAGAGATCACAGTGCCCAACACTGACACAGTGTAAATTGTTCCATCTTGTGGCATTCCCATCGTACTGCAACAAGGAAATGAACCATCACATAACTCTTGGATAACACTGACACCTCCGGGCACTTTTCTGTCATTACAACAACAAATGACAACAACAACTTGCATTTGTATCGCGCCCTTCATGCCGGGCGGTGTCTCGGAGCGCCTACTAAAAGAAAAGCAACACTAGTGAGCTGAGCCCAGTCAGTAAACCCCCATTTGTACAGTTAACGGATAATAATAATAATACTTACACTTAATCTAGCGATGCCAAGACGTTTCAATGTGTTTCACAAATTTCTCCTGCAAAGTACAATGACTGCAAGCGAACGTGGCAAGCAATTTGTGCACAGCGGTGTCTCTGCTGTGCACAGCCACAAAGAACGGACAATTTTTATTTGGAGAATTCTTGGCCAGGACACTGTGTTGTTCTAATCAAACGTGTCCTCACTAATACTGTGGCGGGGGGTTGGGAAGAAGGGGAGTCATGACTTGTTCAGTTGATTAGAGCCGACACCAAGACACACACGTTATTCAGTGCTAAGTGTGTGTAATTTGTTTATTATATCTGTTCTACAGTCCATGATCAGAGGTCTGAAAGTGGCGCTGGTAGAGTTGGAGGTGCTATTCTGAGGAGAACTGTTCTGAGGACATGGCTCCCTGTTTTGTTGTGTACCAATTTTTGCAAAACTAAAGCAGATCGGCCCCTGACACTTACCTTTTATTTACCTTTATTTGCAGGGAGAAGCTCCTCGGATTGTCTAGTCGGCAAAGGTGCCCCACTCTGGTGCAGCGCAAAGGCATCCAGACTGGAAGGTGACAGGTTTGAATCTCTGTCTGTGTTGGATTAGCTGATCTCAGCCATGGCAGCTGTCAATCTATCACTTCTTTTGGAGCAGGGAGTGAAGGTTGGGGAAGCATATTCTGTGAAGCGCTTTGAGACATCTCAAAGACATGATTAGGCGCTACATCAAATGCAAGGATTATTATTATTAAACAAAATTAGGAATGGGGAAGAAAATCAGCTGGGTACCCACATCTGATCCCGTGGCACCCTCCCCGCTCATCTAACCACCCCCCTGTTGGAAGGTCCACCACATAAGTGGACTTCTCTAAGTGGACTTCAGATTTGGCTGCAACGTCCCCACAGTGAAACAGCCTGACATTAAATCCCAAGGGTCACTCGTGGAATAATGATCTTTTGGGTAAGATACCAGAGGGACATTCTCCAACAACTTGCATTTATATTGCATCGTTCACAGAGGAAAAACATCCGAGCATTTCACAAACATGGGGTCAGGCACTGAGTGGGGGGCGGGTGGTGGGGGGGGGATAAAGTTTGCAGAGATTAGGGGCATTGAGTCCGAAGACTCGGCCACCGATGCTGATGTGGGGGGGTTGGGGAGGGGGGAAAAAAATCGGCCATCCACATCCCTAATCCGACTCCATAAAGAACAAGGCGATATCTGTCCTTTCTCGCTTAGTAAAAAAAGAATCTCAGAGAAATGTCAAGAATTCGCTGCCAGAAAAAAAAAGCAGAGGCCAGGCGAGATTGTGCTTAAAATATTATTTTTTTTAAAGTTTAATACTGCATTGATCTATCCGTTAAATACAGATTCAAAAGTTTTATACAACTACCATCGAGTTAAAAACCAGGAAACACATGCTAGATGAGCTAAGGACTAAAAGCAAATGCAGTTTTTACAAGTTGCCGCTAAGCAGCAGCCGTCACCATGTCCTGGACACGTGAATGTCCAGCGCGGAAACAAAATAATCTACAGCAGGTTCGAACCTTCCCGAACGAAGCAGCCGCACCTCAAATTTACAACAACAAAAAAAGGGTTTTCCCCGATGAACAGCATCACGCGAAATGAAATGTACAACGAATGTAAACAGAAAGTGCACGTGTCTAAAGGAACTCGGGACATCCTATGCCGAGTTGCAGCGAGTCCAATGTTAGCAGCCTCGTGCTGGCGATTCACCCACCCAGACGCAGCTCATTAATAACAACAATTTTCCGCCGCCCCCCCCCCCCACTCCTCACCTTTACTCTCCCCGATCTCCCCCACCCCCACTCCAAGTCTGAGGCAGTTAAAAGTTGGTTGAAAACCATACACAGGATATTGGAAAGCAACAAACCCAGTGGGAAACTTTGCCCCAATAAGCAAGCAGCCTTACTGCAAGTTGGGTCAATAGGTTATCTTTTCTGCACAAATTGCATCGCTTGTGAGAATATCAAGTTTCCACAGCCTGGATGGGTGGGTGGGTGGGTGCGTGCGCGGGGAGGGCAGGAGAAGGATAAAGAGAGGGGGATGGCCCCACATTTTGGGTTCAGGCACAGGATGCATTGGAGAGGGGCTCGAGAGGCTTTCACTTTCAATTTGTCTTCAGGATCCAAATGTTACTGTTCTGAAAAAGGGGCGTCTTTGCCATTGCTAATGCCAAAGAAAACTCCACAGGTTTGCGAACGCAGCAATTTTGTTCCTCTCTCCATAGATGCTGCCTGACCTGCTGAGCATTCCCAGTGATCTGTTTTTGTTTCAGATTTCCAGCATCTGCAGTACTTTGCGTTTTAATTCAGTTATTGCCTGGGGACAGGTGAATGACAACAGTCATCCTCTAAAGTGCCTTTAGAGGATTCTTTAAAGCGCCTTTCGCATCGGGAGGGCGTTTCAAAGCTTTGTACTCTGCAATGACAGACCTCCTTCAGGGAAGTGCTTCAGACTCGAGGCTGTGAGCCACGCGGAGATGGAACTGCACCGTCAACAGAACAGAATAATGTGACAAGGCGACAAGAAAGAAAACACATTACGTTCATTTTGTATCATTGTTCCTCATGAGGAAAGGGTATCGGTGGGGAGGGGGGGGGAGAATAAAATAACTCTGATCTCATCAAGCTCTCCACAAGGCAGGAGTCGCTGGGAGAACGGCAAATAACACTAATTTCATTCCCAGATGAAGTTACCTGCTCTGAGCCTCCCTCACTACACACACACTTTCATTCTACTGCATTCCCTCATCCAGGGATGCCACAGGACAGCGGGAATGGAGGAAGTTGGCCATTCAGCCCGCCAAGCCTGCTCTGGAGAATTATTAATTCATGGCAGATGATCTTTCCAACGCTCGGAGCAGTACAGATAAGCTCAATGTTTCATTATTGCTGCTCATTAAACATTTATCCCACCAGCAGCTTCAAAACTGATCTGCAGCAATAATCTTTTTTGAGCGGAGAGGGAGGGAGGGAAAGGTAAGAGGGAAGTTTCCTTGCAAGGTATTATCTGAGCTATCGCTTCTTTCGATCTCTTGAAATGCATCGATGTATTAAACCATTGCAATTATTTGAAACTAGATTCAACTCTGTGCACATTATGTACAGTTAATGAGAGGACTATCCCTACTGTTACTGCCCCTTTTCCTGAGGTAAGCGGGTTGGTTCATATCCCTGGGTTGGCAGCCAGTTCGGGTTAGCAGGCTTCGAAAGTAGAGCAAGCTCCGTGGATGAATTTTCCCTTGGCTTTGAGCTGGCTGCAAGGTTAATTAAACGTGTTAAATTATTCACGTGAGATGTATCCCAAGGCTTTATTTCAGTGCTGCTGAAATTGAGGCTGGTGTGGTCTATTTGTGACTATTGGTTGATTTCTCAGCAGTGACGGTCACAGTGACCTGTGGAGGTTCATCGTCCACGAGGTTGGTCACAAACCCCCCACACCCATCCACTCCCCTAGGGGTGCCTGTTGTTCAGAGCTCTTTAACATTCCGCTACTGTCCATCCCAGAACTGACCCGTTTGCCTCCAAGAGAAAGAAACAGAAGCCTGTTTCCATATCTCATCAGCCAGTCACAGAGACAAACGAAGCTGAAACCACAACATCTATCTAGCTGGTGTTAAAATGTCCCCATAGAATCATAAGAGATTCCAGCACAGAGGTCAATTGGCCAATCCTGCCTGTGCCTCAGGGTGGAGGGGAATGGAAATAAATAAATAAGGCAATGGGATCAATCTCAAGGGTTGTACTAACATGCAGAGAGAGAGAGAGAGAGAGAGAATAGGTCAGTTTCCCTTTCACTTCAAGACTTCCTCCATATGTAGTTAGTTCTGGCACCACCTTGTGACACCTCACAGCTATCGCAACTTTAAAAAAAGTACAGTACGGTATTAACACATATTGGTTACGAAAATTGCATGATGAGAACTGCATGGACTTCTCTCAGCAGGTGAGTTAGTAGGTGGTGGAGTTGGAATTTTGTCTGAACCGAGGCACTTTGGGTCGTGTCCTCACTTGGGTCACCAGTTTGAGTCCCTCCTCTCCCAACCACCCTCAATATTTCCCTCAAGTCCCTTATCAAAGTTGTTTAATCCGCTTTTTTTGGGGGGGCGGGGGGTAGGGGAGGTTAGGGAAGGAAGCGGAGTCGGAGGGGAATTTACAAACTGACATCCCACAGAATCTTGCACAAGAACCTCTGTCCAACTTCTCTCAATCTCCCACCAACTCAGAAAAAAATACTCGAAGGATGACTACAGGGGAGACGCTGACTGATAAACGTTCCTTGTATCAGCTTAAGAGATCTGCTCTGTGATTATAATAATCCTTTCATTTGATATAGCGCCTTATCACGTTGTCAAGACGTCTCCAAGATTAAATGGACCACGTTGTGCTGTACCAAACCCCGCAGACCTAGAAGGTCTTGGGTTGTGGTCTTGGGCTCGATCTCTGGTCTGCCACGTTAGCTGCTCTCAATCAGGGCCGAAAAAGAATTGCTACAATCAATTGGCTCAGTGACCTAAGTCTTGTTGGGTGGTGGTGGAGGAGAGGGGTAAACTTTTGGTAATAAGGGATGCTACATTGCGAAGAGAGAAGGGTACGTGTTCTGGAAGGATAAGATCAAATGGACAGAAGGGCCTTCTTCACCTGAACCTCTCACGTGCACAAGAAAGACAGAGCACGACAGTTCTTTGTAACATTGAGGGTAATTCAGTGGAATAGAATTCTCCTCTCATTTCACCTCACTCAAAGTAACTTCCAACCTAAGAGGGGTGGAGCAGGTTGCTTAACTATAATATTAATAATAATAATAATCCTTGCAATTGATATAGTGTCTTATGTCTTCATGATGTCTCAAAGGGCTTCACAGAATATACTGTAAAGTGTAGTGACTATATTTTTGTGGGCGAAACGGGGGGAAAAGGGCTTCACACGTTGAAAGATCTGAGGGTTCACCAACATTATGTCTGTCTGGTTGGGTAAGTGGCCGTTTCTTGGTGCATCAGAGCACTGACCCTCCCACAGGGGAGAGGTGGAACGAGGGGGGGAGGGATGTTACAGTTGTCTCTTGGATCTGACCATTAGGAACAAACTAGTAAATATCTTACAGATTGACCCAGGTAGGAGTGCATTTCACAGTAGTGATGCAAAGATGGCCAGAAAGGGTCACAAACTTCAGAAGGAATCTGCAGGCCGCTTGTGTTCAACAAGCTGCTGTTAGTGGAAAAGGTTTCCCTTGAATCCACTTTCCTGAAATTTCCCTAAGGGATCAATTGGTAAAGGCACTGTCTATTGTGGAACTGAGCCATACCTCCCAGGAAGGCTATGACTTCGATCTCTGGTCCGAGCTTGGTCAGCTCATCTCAGTTGGACTTAGTGCCTCTGGGATAGGGAAAAGGGCCAAAGTAAACACAGCCTGGGATCCCGTTCCTGATTGCTGTTCAATGAGAAAAAAAACAGAAGTCACTGGGAACACATAGCAGGTCAGGCAGCATCAATGGAGAGGAAGATTTGTTAACGTTTCAGGTTCTGATGAAAGGTCACTGACCTGAAACGTTAACTCATTTTCCTCTCTCCATAGATGCTGCCTTTCCTACTGCCCAGTGACTTCTGTTTTTATTTCAGATTTCCAGCAACTGGAGTATTTTGCCTTTTGCTAGTCACTAAGCCCTACCGGCAAGTGCTTTAATGTGGACGTCGGCTAAAGATGAGATTGGGCTCAGCTATACAATATTACTGGCAGTGATGTGGAGGAAAAGGAACATTAATGTAGATGCTAAATGTATTTCGTGGAAGCCAGGAGATGGGATGGGTTAGTATTTATACATCCACACGCCTGGTTGAAACAAAAGCCCTTTGGGTTCTCCTCACAATTCCTTATTCTAAAATAAAATGTAAAAAATACAAATTCCAAGTACAGTGTGGGGTGGGCAGGGGTGAGCGGGGGCGAGGGACGGGCGAGGGCGAGGGACGGGCGGGGGCGAGGGCGAGGGGCGGGCAGAGGCGAGTTAAAATAATAATCAGCATCAACCAAGCCCAGATGAACTTCAAGCAATTCTGTTCTTGTCCCATGAGTGGTTATAAGGTGCCAGCTCCAATTCAAAATACTAAGCGAGTGTTGGCAGCCAATGTAAAGAGTAGACAGACCCCTGCTCTCGGCTCCTACTGCTCCTTTGGGAAGTACAGCTCCATGAACTTCTTCAGCCTGGTCGGGTAGTCAGACATCACACCTGTGGCGCCCAGGTCAAAGGCCCTTTTAAAGTCGTCCTCGTCATTGAGGACCCATATGTAAACCTGCGGAGGCAGCATAAAGCCAGCAGATGAGAGCGTGTTGAGACGTCCCATTACACATATCACTCACGGATTCTATTACTCATTGGTCTATCCACCTTCCTCGGTCCACTTCCCCTGCCCCATCCCCGCCACCAAAAATACGTCTGTCTTTCAAATCAATGGACCAGTAATTTCCAACACCAGACTGTGTGTAAAACATATCCCCTTCACCCACCATTGGAAAATTCAATACATCATAATATGGATCTCTCAAACTAAAAGAGAAATTACACTTGCCCCTACCCCATTCTTCTCTTCCCCCACACTTCCCCACATTCTCTCTAGACTCTGCATCAAAGCGATTCGATAAGGTGGACATTGATAGGCTGTTTCCACTTGTTGGCAAGTTTAAAACTAGATGGTATTATAGATATGCCCTATACCATCAACAACTTCCATTTGTATAGCACCCTTCAAACCGGGCATGGTCTCGGAGTGCTTAATAGTGTCGTCTGATGTGGAGCCGGGGAGAAAGGGGAGGTGACCGAAAGTATGGGGAAAGAGGAAACCTTCAGGTGAGATCTGTAGAGGTGCAGAGAAGGGGCAAGGCAGAAGGATTGAGACAGAGAGGTTCAGAGGTTTGGGGCATAGCGGCTGAAAGCATGGCAACTGATGTGGAGCAGAAGGACTTGCCAAAGGCCGAAGCCAGCTGAGGAAAGGGGGCGGATAAAGAAGTTAGTAAGATAAGATAGCCAATAGCAGATCTAAGAGGAACTTGTGCGTATAGAGAATGTGGAAATTGTGGTCAAAGAGAAAAGCAGTAAGAGGAAACACTGGGGCTGGGGGCTTGTGTGGAGAAAAACATACATGGACTTGTGGGTCGAATGGCCTGTTTCCATAATACAACACTTTATGTAATGCTGGGTAACACATCGCTGTTTTGAGTATTAAGCAGAGAACTGATGTTTGGATTTTGACCAGTACAGTCATTCAGCACAGAAATAAGTTAGAAACAAATTTAATTATTTTTCTTCAAGGAATTAAGATTCATATTATCATTATTATAATTATTATCAGAACAAACAAGGAACCACAAAGTGGTCTTTTTTTTACCTGGATTCCTCTTGCTTTGAGATGCTCAAATAAAGCTTTTCTCATCAATAAACTGAGAGCAGAAAGAAAGAAAAAATGAGAACGTAAACAAATACAACAACAACTTGCATTTGTATTAGTGCTCTTTACGCAATGTCGAGTTGGGGAGAGAGGGAGGAGGTGACTGAAGGCACAGGCGAAGAGGAAGGGTTCAGGTGCAATTTGAAGACTAGCAAGAAGGGGATAAAGACACTTTTGAGTAAATTCTACGTTTACATTTCAATCTGTACATCAAATACCCACAGGACTGACATTTCATACTTAGAACAACAAAATAATAACTTCCATAAATGAAGACAAACACTAGGAGAAAGGAGGTGAAAGAGAGAGAAAGGTATTAAGGGATATGGGGCAAAGGTAGGTAACTAGACTTGAGGTACAGATCAGCCATGATCTTATAAAATGAGGGAATACGCTCGAGGGGCTGAATAGTGTACTCCTGTTTCTATAACGAAAAGACTGAAATCAGAGGAAGCAACCAGAGTGAGCTAATCGCAGCTTGCAGCTGGGCTGATCATTAACAGATTAAACGAAATTCATTGCTGACAAATGCAAGGTGCTGCATAAATTAAGAAGCACATGCAACTCTAAGGATGGTCTATAAATTTGCCAAAGGGGAACACCAAAAGAGACCTGAAGGTATTGGTTGGTTAATTGTCACTCACTATATCCAAATACTTAGGCAGAAATAAGAGCAAGCTGCACCCAGCACCTTGGGACGTCCTCCCGACGTGAAAGGCGCTATACAAATGTAATTTTGTATTGTACATCATTAGATAAATGGAGCTGAAATTCTGAGATGTCATACTGAAGGTGTACAGTGCTCTGACCAGGATTCAGCTGTAATAGTGGCTGTTGTAACACAAGATCTGGATAAAGGGAACTTGGATTTTCAGTTCAAGACGAATTTACACACAACACATCATAGAATCGTAGAATTACATTATACAGCAGAGAGGGAGGGCCTTCGACCCATCGTGTCTGTGCGTGTCTTTGAAAAGAGCTTCCCAAATCAATCCCACTCCGCCGCTCTCTCATAGCCCTGCAAATTTGTCCTCCCCAAATAATTATCTACTTCGCTCTTAAAAGTTGTTGTCGAATCGGCTTCCACGGCCCTTTCAGGCATCTGCAACATATCTGTAAGTGAGCTGTACTTACGCATCTGCAACCCAGGTTATAAACTTCTGACTCCTGGTCAGCTTGCTGGGGTCTTTCAGTCTTGAGAAGTAAAAAGAAAATCACATCTCACATAGTAAAGAAATGAGCCTAAAATTTGGTGAAAGGTTCATTGTATTAACTTATTGTTAGAAGAGCCAAAGCAACAACAGAATTGCAGTTGTATACAGTAAAATAACTTTCACCTAGGACAAAGGACTCAAAACGCTTCAGAGACAGCGGAGAGCAGTGAGCAACAACAACTTACAATACCAATAATAATAATCCTTGCATTTATGTAGCGCCTTTTACGCAGGGTAGCGCCCCTGAGCAAGAGGGAAAGGAGAGATCTGAGGATGACTAAAGGTTCGGTAAAGAGATACATTTGGAAGGGAGCTTAGAATTCAAGCAGACAGAGGAGTCGGCAGACAAAGGGATTCTGGAAGAGCAAAGCTACAACAACATTACCTTTATACAGCGCCTTTCACGTCGAGAGGACATTCCAAGGCGCTAGACAGTCAGTGTTTAAGCTACACTTACTTCAGCAAAATTGAAGGCATGGGAATCTCGAGGAACTGCTCCCGCAGGGGATAAAATGGCAAGAGGCCTGTGTAGAATAACCCAACCAGCAGCAGGACTCGCTGGAGACTGAAGAGGATTGGGATAGTCGAGTTCTGAGAACAAATGAACGCAAACACGTTACACGTGAGCTGAAGAACCAAGAGGCTAGCTCGTAACTCACACGCCACACAATACTGTTGGATTCTCGCAATCTCTCTGTTGCTGGAGAAATTGTCAACCACTCCATGCACATTTAGCAGCAACCACAACTTGCATTTATATAACGCCCGCACCCTTTGTGCGGGGTGGTGTCCCGGAGTGCTTGTTAACCCCGCAATGTTAACACTGCAGAGCAGCAGCACACAGAGGGGGACAGAAAGCACAGAGGAAGATGGTTTGGTTAATCTGTAAGCCCTGCTTGACAAACCAGAATCGGAATTGTTAGTGCAACAAACCTCGGGGCAAAGGAACACGGTATCCTGCGACTGAATGTAAACAGAATGAAAATTAGCTTTGTTTGAATGCAATCCAACAATACAGCCATTCGATAAGATGAGAGACAAAACACTAAGGTCAAATGGTGGTCATTGTTACACACATTACTTAGCACTGGTGTAAGCGCTCCACGAGGTTTGTAGAAAGGTTTTGCCTGTGCCAAGGAATACAAGAGCACAGCTAATTCTAAAAAAGGCGAGTTGTTAACATCCATTGAACCAGGACTCCCTCTGCCGCCTCATCCTCCTCGACTTCTCTGCTGCCTTCGATACCGTTGGCCACTCTATCTTCCTCCACCGCCTTTCCTCTCACCTCAACCTTCATGGTTCTGTCCTTGAATAGTTCAGATCGTATCTCTCACACCTCCTCCACTTCATCTCCACAAGCTATCTCTACAGCTAAATGTCAAAGTCCTAGGTCCTTCTGATTGGCTCCTGTTAGCGCTTCCACACCTCAGGCGCTGACAGCATCACCATCCATGGATGCACACTCCACCTCACTGAGCCAGTCGAAACTTTGACGTCTTGTTTGACTCTCAACTGTCATTTCTACCTACATCCATGCCATGCCCCACTCTGCCTTCCCCCACCTCCACAGCATCGCCCGGCTCCATCGAGACCTTCATTTTTAACATCCAGGCTCAACTATGAAACTCCCTGCTTCTCAGCCTCCCCAACTCCTCCCTTCATAGGTTGCAGATCATCCAAAACTCTGCAGCCCATGTCCTCTCTCGCACCAGGCTCCACAACCCTATCATCTTCACCCGACTCCACTGGCTTCCCATCACACAGAGGATACAGTTCAAGATCCTGACTCACTTTCAAAGCCCTCCATGGCCTTGCTTCCCCCATTCCTGTGACCTCTTAAACCCCTACCAACCTGCCCGCTCCCTCTGCTCAGGGGGCCTGCTTCATATCCCCCTCCTTGCCTGCCCCACCATTGGCAACCGAGCCTTCAGCCACTCAGCCCCCACCCTCTGGAACTCCACCCTGCAGTCCCTCCCCCTCGCCACCTCCCTTGCCTCCTTCAAGACCCTCTTCTTTGACCGTGCCTTCGGTTGTCCTCCTTCTCCCTAGCCTTCCACACTCCCCGATCCAGCCCCCCAGCTCGAGTCCGAAACACGGATAGTCCAGCGCCTTGAGGCGTCCTCCCGATGTGAAAGGCGCTATTCAAATGTAATTATGTTGCTCTCCGCATTCACTGCTAAAGAGCTCCAGTGCTGAAAGGCTTTGTGTCGTCAAGGGCTGCCTGCCAAGCTGACATCCCCTCCCCTCACTCAGATCACATCATTTGCGACAGGGGCTAGTTGCTGAGTGGTTGCCGTGGAGATCGCTCACTCAAAAGCCAGAAGAACATTGAGCCCCTCCACCCCCCCCCCTCACTGCTGATGTTCCAAGTCTGGCTTCTGAGAGGCAGCCAAACCTATCAGGACCAAGTTGGCCCCAACTTACTGTTTTATAACATTTCTTCACTACATCATCGCTGGCATTTCCCCAGACGGTGAGGTCCTGGCGGTTATATTCTTTCACCAGTTCTGAAACCTATCAGAGAACAGACGTAATTAACATTGAGACAAGGTACAGCTGTATGAGCATCCAAATGAGATCCCAGGTACTGATCAGCTGGACAGTCCACAGAGCTTTGGACTGGGAGCAAGGAGAAACATCAGAGGGTCACTCACACTCTTCTCCCGCCTAAGCAGTGCTTGGAGGAATGCAAGATCGAGAGCGATGCTCTTGCATGCAGTGAAGCATTGGCATTTGGTCAGCACAGAATTTTACTCTGAAGTGAAGTGACTGTGTACCTTTTTGCTTTCCGGGGGTAATAATCCCTTAAAAAAAATTGGACACTCAATCCACGACTGTTTGTGGGACACTGGTGTGCACAATTGTGGAGTCCTGCAGCTCAGTGGTTAGAACACTCGCTTTGCAAGTGAAAGACCTGAGTTCAATTCCAGGCAGAGGGTGAAACCTTGGGCAAGTTTCCTTACTCCACACAGAGCCTAATAATAATCCCTCCAAAACCAAAAACAATAATAAATTGGTCATTTTCAATCTACGACTGTTTGTGGGACATTGCTGTGCGCAATTGGCTGCCGCGTTCGCCCACAAATATACAGTCAATTCACTTTACAGTGTGTTCTGTGAAGCGCTTTGGAACGTCCTTGCGACGTGAAAAGCGCTATATCAAATGCAAGGATTATTATTATTAATTGGCTGCCGCATTTCACCTACAAAATATAGTCAATTCACTTGACAGTATATACTATGAAGCGCTTTGAGACGTCTCAACAACGTGATATGGTGCTATATCAAATGTAAGGATTGTTATTATTATCTGTAGGCCAAAAGACAAGGAAAGTCAGCACTACTAATGGTTTCTGTGTTCCCCAGAATGAAACAAGAAAAGAATTTTGCATGTTTATAGTTCCTTATACTTTGAAGGTCATAGCACTTTGTCTATCAAATAGTCAAGAGCAGTGATTATTTGATATTTGACTAGGCAAAGTGATGGGTGATGCTAATGCTAATATAATAATCCCTATAGTCAGTACAGCTCCTTATCATTGAAGTATCTCAAAGCGCTTCATAGGATTCAATGATAAGGTGTAAGGTGCACCTTAGGTGTAGTGACTATGAATTTATAGGCAAACTCAGCCAATTTGTGCACATCAAGATCCTGCAAACAACCCTCTGGTAAACAATTAATCTGGAGGACTATTGCCAGGACACTGGAAGAAATGCCTTTCATTTTGAGTATTGTTAGCATTAAATAGGCTGTTGCCACTGGTTAGTGAGTCAGTAACTTGGGGATACAAGTATAAGATAGTGACGAGGGAATCAAAAAGAGAATATAGTAGGAACTACTTCAAGCAACAGATAGTGAGATTATGGAACTCACTGCCTGATAGCATAGAGCCATTCAGGAAGAAGCTACACCATGAGTGAGAGGGGAATAGAAACACCGAAACAGAAGTAGGCCATTCAGCCCCTCGAGCCTGTCCTGCCATTCTATAAGACCATGACTGGTACCTCAAGTCCAATTACCCATCCTTGCCCCATATCCCTTAAAATCCTGATCTAACAAATTGCTATCCACCTCAGTCTTGAATAGAAGAGTACAGGAGGGAGTAAATAATGGGTGGAGTCTCCTGTGGAGTATAAACCCAGGCACGGACTAGTTGGACCGAGTGGCCCTTTTCCGTGCTGCACATTCTTTGTAGAGTCACAGGATCCTTAACATCTGCCTGAAGAGGCAGAGAGACTGAAGCACGACAAGAAGCGAATGAGTTGATGCGCCAGCTTTGCCGTTTATTTTGTACCTTTTGAATAAGGACGTCATTGTTGACTTTAATGTCGATATTGACGGGTGTGTTTGGAAACTCTTCAAAGACTTCCTTCAGCAGTGGAATGCGCTTGTCATCACCGCCCTCGCAGCAGCACTCTGAGTGAAGACCAGGAGCAAACAGCCACAGGTTAAACACATCTCTGAACGCACAGCAGCTTTAACCCCTCGCTCTACACCAGCTACTGGACATTGCATTTACGACTCGAGGAGTAATTTCTGTTGGTGGGGACAGGAACTTCCTTGAAGTAGCTGATTGCTACATTGCTGGGACAACAACATATTACATTTGTATGGAGCCTTTCACGTCAGGAGGACGTCCCAAGGCGCTGGGATTTGTACCTATCCAAGACTGGAGTGTCTGGTGCTGTGAGATGTCTGTTCGTGCGCAGTTTGTACTGGGTGGACACAAACTTTCATTTTCTGGTCACAGACATTCTGTACTCCCTGTGAACGGTCCATACAGAGCAACCCTGTGAACAGTGCAATCCAGGCTAAGCCATCATCCTACCTCGCAATCCAGAGCTGCAGTAGTTTTTGTGGTTACTGCCAGAATAGCCCTGACAACCCGCTCTCCAGGTGGCTCCTCCACAGGAACCAGTGGACAAGGAGAGGTGCGTGAGCAAATCATATTAAACAACAACAACAGGGGGGAGGAGAGGGGAGGGGAAGGGGGGTGACCGATGGCATGGTTGAAGAGGAGCGTTTTGAGGCGGGACTTGAAAGAGGCTAAGGAGGGGGTGAGACGGAGTGATTGGGGTATGGAATTCCAGAGGTTGGGGGCAGAGTGGCTGAAGGCTCTCCTGCCAATGGTGGGGCGGGTGAGTCGGGGGACGTGGAGCTTACACGGCACTTTTAACATAGGATATGAATGACTTGGAGAGGATGGGGAATCAACTAGCTCTCATGACTTAGTGAACTGATGTTTATTTCAAAAAAACATCTTGCAGGCTGTCAATCTCTAAACACATTGAGGCATTATTCCTTTAGGAAAGCGCTACACAAGTGCAAGTTGCTATCTGTGATAATCGTGACGGCCGTTCCAGCCAGTGGGATGGCTGCAAGGTAAAAACAGTGGTAGAAGTGGAATCCACATTAACCTTTGAAAGGATTTGGGCAAATATCTAAAAGCAAAAAATACAAAAGATTGTGGAGCAGAACTAAATGGATAAACTTTTCAGAGAGCAAACACAATGGGTTGAATGGCCTTTTTTGTGCAGTAAAGTTCTATGATTTATGATTCTACTAAAGGAAGACATCAAAGTCACCAAGTCCTGGCCTGCATACATTACACAAGATCATCAGTTTGGTTTGGGTGAAAAAGGCTCAGCTACCCATTTGATCTCAGCCTTACAGAAAACCCACTCTACTGCCTTCCTATCCCAAGCTTTTTTTTATATAAAAAAAATCACCCTTCACTGGTAACCCTGTTCCCAGTCGTTAGTTATCTTCTGGGTAAAGGTAAACTTGTTGCTGTTTGTCCTGAGATTGCCCTTTGCCATTCAGCTCAGCAGCATCTACTGAAACTAATAATAATAATCCTCGCATTTGATATAGCGCTTTTCACGTCAGGAGGATTTCCCAAAGTGCTTCACAGAATATACTGTAAAGTGAATTGACTATATTTGTGGGCGAATGCGGCAGCCAATTGCACACAGCAGTGTCCCACAAACAGTCGTAGATTGAAAATGACCAATTTATTATTGTTTTTGGTTTTGGAGGGATTGTTATTAGGCTCTGTGTGGAGTAAGGAAACTTGCCCAAGGTTTGGCCCTGACCTGCCTGGAATTGAACTCAGGTCTCTCGCTTGCAAAGTGAGTGCTCTAACCACTGAGCTACAGGACTCCACTGCAAAGCGAAAGGGGACAAATGGAAGAAAATCAATTTGTGCAGAGAGTTTCTGTGGCCCTCTTGCACGTCATCGAACAACGCAAACCTCTCCAGGCTGCAACATTCTGAAAACATTAGCAGATAAGGGGTTATTAGCAGGCTCAGCAGATGGTGAATTTCTGGGTCTGTAGTTCAGCCTGCAACAAGAACTGCAACTGCACACCATTATATGAATTTAACAACAACAAAATTACTTTTTTTAGCGCCTTTCACATCGGGAGAAAGTCCCAAGGCGCTGGAAAGACAGAGTTTTGGACCCGAGCTGAGGGTCGGGGTGAGGGAAGGTTGAGGACGGGGGGGGGGAAGCAGGGAGATCGAAAACACGGTCGAAGAGGAGAGTCTTGAGGTGGGTCTTGAAGGTGGCAAGATGGCGGGACTGTGGGATGGAATTCCAGAGGGTGGGTGCAGTGGCGGAAGGCTTGCCCGCCGATAGTGGGAGTGAGCAAGGCGGGGGATGTGAAGCAGGCCAGAGCCCGCTAAGCGGAAGGAGAAAACAGGGTGGTAGAGGTTTAGGAGGTCGGAGAGATAGGGGGGAGCAAAGTTTGTGTTTCCTGCATCAATGGGATTCGCATGCCACTGACTTGACTGTTCCAGAAGCTCAGCTCATTCAGGGCAAAATCAGCCACGCTGTGCATTCATTCATCACTAACTGGCTGTTCCTTCTCACCTTTCTGAAAGGAAATGCCCAGCTTCCAAAGGTATGGAGGTAGTTCCTGAAAAGCAAAAATGGGTCACATTAGGGGTACAGCGCTGAATAGTCCTTGCATTTGATATAACACCTTATCCGGTCGTTGAGACGTCGCAAAGTGCTTCACAGGATATATTGTAAAGTGGAGTGTGTATTCTGTGGGCAAAAAATTAAATGACTTGAAAATTGGTAACGTCAACGGTGTGGTCCAGCTGGCAAGACACTTACTGAGAACTTGAGGTCGGCAATGCTCACGTTGACCCCAGTTGCCCTCTTCAGGTTGTCGTCATGCGACACCACCACTTGCTCGTCTTTCGTCATGTGACAGTCCAGCTCCAACATGTCAGTTCCCAAGGCTACGGCGCTGGAAGAGTGAACGGCACAGAGTCAGGCCTCAGCGCCAGCAAGGGGAGGGAAAGGCCAACCTTCACATGATGGACAGGAAACAAAGCAATCAAACAGATACCTGCAGCACACAATGGTTTGCCGATGCTGTATGCCGCCTCCCTCCCTCCCGCTCCTGAAGGTGCTTGAATCATGTTCCCAATCGCTGGTGGCCTTCCAGGACCTTGCCCAAGTGGCTACTCATAATAATCCTTGCATTGATACAGCACGTTATCACACCTTCGAGACATCAAAAAGCGCTTCACAGAATATGCTGTGAAGTGAATTGACTGTATATTTTCTGGGCAAAACGCGACAGCCAATTGCGCACAGCAGCATCCCACAAACAGTCGTGGGTTGAGTGTTTGTGGGACACTTCACATGTGAGTGTAGACAGCGAAGGCAATTGGGCTACCCGACTGCAGAGATGTGGCAGCCAAATCTAAGTCTGCTCTCACCCTGGGTGCACTTTTGAGCTGGGCTCACTTGACAGTGAATTAGAAGCTTTTATTCTGGGTTTCTCACCCGGCCATACTGCAGTAATCATAACAAATCACACTGAAGCCCTTTGGTCACGCTTGTGTTCTTGCTTTGCTTCTGCCCTATATAGAAATAAAGACTTTTGAATTTGAATCAGACAACGTATACCTCGCACTCACCTGAGAGGATTACTGACAGGTAATTCTAGGCGTTTGAGGGTATGCAAGTGTTATACTCCTGGGCGCAGAGCGGGTTTAAACCAGCACATTATGGATGTTCATGTGACTCATTCTTCATGGAGCATCAACCTAGACTAAAGTCCTAAAATGGGCTTGAGCCCACAAACCTCTGACTCAGAGGTGAGAGTGCTATTGACTGGCACCTACTAAACAGCAGGATTAGGCCAATATAGCAGATTCCTGAATAAGCAGCCTGTTCTATTTCCACTGTGTAACTACACCAGGTTTAGACTTTGAAATAAGACTAGCCAAAAGCAGATTGGACGCCAGATAATAGCTTTGTGTAAATTGAACCAGCGGTGATGTGGACAAAGTATTATCTAATACAGCTTCTAAGAACGATATATTCAGCGCACAAGAGGGCTCTCAGCTAATCACTAGGGTTGCAATCCCCGATCATGGAATAATAAACTACAAATTTACATTCATATAGTGCCTTTCACATCGGGAGGCATCCCAAGGCACTTAGGTTGTCTCAGGCACTTGCATTCTCGCCTCCGAGTCAGAAGATTGTGGGTTCAAAGACCAGGATGCACCCAAGTGACACTGTTCAACAAGTTCAGCTCATAATTTAAAAGGGAATTAAATGCCTGAAAAAGGAGGACTGTCAAAGGGGGCATGGGGCCTGGCATGGGGAGAGAGCAGGAGTGTGAGAGAGATAAGACTGGACAGACGAAACAGGCAGAAAAAATTACTTGTTCCTGGACTGTACAATGCTATCAATCTCTAAGCAAAATAGCTGAAGCCACTTCCTACATTTGTCAGGCCCTTGAGAGAATAATAATAATCCTTGCATTTGATATAGCTCTTTATCACGTATTCGAGACGTTTCAAAGCACTTCACAGAATATATTGTAAAGTAAATTGTCTATATTTTGTGGGAGAAACGCAGCAGCCAATTGTGCACAGCAGTGTCCCACAAACAGTAATAATAATAATAATAATAATAATCCTTGCATTTGATATAGCGCTTTTCACGTCGGGAGGACGTCCCAAAGCGCTTCACAGAACATACTGCAAAGTGAATTGACTGTATATTTGTGGGCGAACGCGGCAGCCAATTGCGTACAGCAATGTCCCACAAACAGTCGTAGATTGAAAATGACCAATTTATTATTGTTTTTTGTTTTGGAGGGATTATTATTAGGCTCTGTGTGGAGTAAGGAAACTTGCCCAAGGTTTCGCCCTCTGCCTGGAATTGAACTCAGGTCTCTCGCTTGCAAAGCGAGTGCTCTAACCACTGAGCTACAGGACTCCACAAGTAGTGGATTGAGTGACCAATTCATTCTTATTATTTATTTTTTGCAGGAATTATTACCCCTGGAAAAGCAATCCGCCAATCGACTAACAACCGAGTTCCTACTTACTGCTAGGTAAACAGAAGTGTGTGGAGTAAGGAAACTTGACCAACATTATGCATGTGATCAGGACCAGGACTGCTGACACAGTGAACTCCTGACTTTAGCTGCCATCTAAATAATGGGTTCAGAAACCAAATAGCTCACTTTACCTGAATCCAGATGACTAACTTGGAAACAAAGCTGCAATATTGTTTTTTTTTAAATAAAACACTAAGCTTTCTATTTTGGGCTGTATGCTCAGAGGGTGAAGTTCAGACACGAGATCAATGCCCTGGATGATTCACCCTTTTGTTTCCCCCCCCACCCCTCCTCAATTTCAGGTTATTATTGGATAATCACTGTTAAACCAACAGTCTAACATTGCCTCTTCCAGATCGCAATAGCACGGTACATCAATATCCCAGTGATTCTCTCCACCACTGTGGCCCACATGCTGCATGTCAGAGCAGCATTGAGCGAAGGTAATGAACCAAGTGCTTGAAAACAGAGATGCTGAGAAGCTAAATCTTCTTTTACTTCACTTTACAGCATATCCTGTGAAATTCTTTGAGATGTCTTGATGACGTGCTAAGGTGCTGCGACAAACGCAAGGATTACTATATACTATATTACACAGACAAGCTGAAGATAGGTTTTCAACAAGAGAAGACTTGACGCATAGATGAGGGATAAGGGAATGGAGGGAGTTAGCTGAGGGGAATGGGAGAGGTGGGGGCTTGTATGGAGTAAAAACACCATCATGGACTACTTGGGCTGAATCACCTGTTTCGCTGCTGTTTCACTCGCTCTAGCCCTGAAATATAGGTGAGGAACTTGGGAAGGTTCCACAGCACCATGGGATTGACAAGAGTCTAAGCCTTCAGGTGAGGACAGAAAACTGGAACAATTCATTGCAAACATGTTTCTCTCCCAAGAAAGCCAGCTTGGCAATTATTTACTGTGCTGCTGCTGTTCAGAATTTGCAATATCTCATTGCTTAATTTATTTAATTGCACACCCAACATTCCTCCAAGGTTTAACCAGTTTTACTGTTGCTTGAGCTGCTTTCAGAGGGTCAGATTTTCTTTATCTGACCCTCAGCAATCCTTCCACAAATGAACTGAATGTCAAGAGAACTTTCTCAGCTACAAGAGCAACTATGTCGGCAGCAGCTCGAAGCCTGTTCATCTCTCACAGGGTCAAAGCCAATGTGATCCCTGCTTGGGAACTCTCTGAAGAGGTACACCAACAGCTTAATAGAATCATAGAGCACAGAAGGAGGCCATTCGGCCCATCGTGTCTGTGCTGGTTAATAATCATTCTTGCTACAGTGATACAGTGCTTATCACGTAGACGAAACGTCTCAAAATTCTTTACAGGATTCACCGTGACTATGTATTTTGTAAGCGAATGTGGCAGCCAATTTTGCACAAAGCAACGTTGGTTCCACAAACAGTCACGATGTGAGACTCAGCCAATTTTATCATTGGAGATTTTTGGCCAGGGCACCAGGAGAGGCTCGCTTCTCTTTTCAAATAGCGTCACGGCATCCCTAACGTACCAGGAAGTCATATCAGCTTAACATCTCATTTGGAGGACGTTACCTCCAACAAAAGCAATGGACTCCCAGCCTAAACCTGTGAGTACAACTTGGGGCTTGAACCCACAAGTCTTCAGACTCCGAGGCGATAGTGCCTCCAAGTGAGACAGGCTGACAGAATGCTACACTGTATTTCCATTTGCGCAAGAGATCCTGAACAAAGCACTGACCACATTCATGAGGGCTGTGCAGCATACTGAGCGGATCAGGATCAATGAAGAAAACGTGCATCCGCTTCAACGAGCTGCACCAGCAAAACAGCAGCTCACATTGTGAAGAAGCTGGAGCTCTGCCAACCCAGGCACACAGACCCCGGGAGTGCGCGCTCCCAGGCCCCTGGGCACGCACCGAACCCCGGGCACACATTCCGCTGCTGGGGCAACAGATTTCTCTCGCGGGCAGACAGCTACCCGTGTCGGTTTAGGTAGCAATATTGTTTTGGACATATCTCATCTTGTTTCAGGCAATGATACTCAGTAAAGCTACAGAATGTCAACACTGGCACAGACTTTTGTTGAAACATTACTGCCCTCCTGGCTGTTTGTGGGACAATGCTGTGCGCAAATTTGCTGCTGCATTCGCTTACAAAATGCAATCACTACACTTTACAATGTGTCCTGGAAAGTGCTTTGAGGTATCCCCCCCGACATGAAGAGAGCTATATCAAATCCAAGGATTATTATTTTAGAATAATCGAATGCTGCTGAATGGAAGGGTTTCAGATTGTTTAGGGATTAATTATGCGGAGGGATTAGGAGAAGAAGTGGGGGAGAGTGGAGCTGGGTTTAGCACTAGCCAAACAGATTCTAAGTTATAAATGTATAAAAGCATTCCCAAGTTCTTTACAGAGGAGAGCATTCTTTGAAATTGAAAGAAATTGATTTTTGGAAAAAAAATGTCTCATTGTGCTTCAAGTGCTTTGAAGTGCAACAATTGTGTATTTGTAGGTGAACGAGGCAGCCCAAAGTCCAACAAACAGCTGTGAGGTGAACGATCAATATATCTGGAAGCTAATTATGGATTGTCCTCATCTAAAGCTTACTGTTTAACCTCATCATCATCACCAGTGTGTCCCGATCCTATTTTGTTGGTGGAGGGGAGGTGGGGTGTATAGAGGGAAGGGATAGGGGTGGGGATAAATGGACGGACGATGCGGAAGAAGGTGGGATGGGTTCAACCTGAGGAGTGACTGGATGAATGCCTCTCCCTCTCTCCCTCTCCACAAGACGATGACCTTAACTTAAGATCCACAGAAACTGCAGCCTTCCAATACAACAACAATGTACGTTTATAAAGGTTTACATCATGCCTTTCATGTCAGGAGGACATCTCAAAGTGCTCCACATAAGTGACAGAGATGAAGCTGTGGTGGGGGAGGCTGGTGGAAGAACAAAAAAGGAGGCTGTTTAGCCCATTGCGACCCTGATATAGTGACAGGGCATCACTGAACCTCTGAGACAGCAGATGTTACATAAGCCACTTTTGTGTTCCTGAACAACGTGGATTCAAATTCACACAACACAAGGTTATCACAGCCAACTCACACTTACTGTCTAAAAGCTGCCATTGTGTTCTCCAAGTTCTCGCCAGCACCTGGAAAAAGAGAAGCAAACAATTTCACTGAGTGGGTTGAGGATTATTTTTCACCTACGAGCGCAGTTTTGTGCTCTCATGGGCAGACCCATGGTCTAGTTTGTCAGGAGCCGGTACCCCAAACAATGAGCCTCTCTGAGCTGCACAATCCACGTTACTATTTCAGCAAACAGATTTTCTTTTTTAAAAAGTTTCAATCAGCGATCAAATTATGCAGTGAATGATGGGCAACAGAATGTAGGGCACAGAAGTTAATGGAGGATAATAGCAATCCTTGCATTTGACACAGCACCTCGAGAATGTCTCAGAGTGCTTCACAAAGGTTCCTATATGGTGTCGCGACTGTATTTGTAGGAGATCGCTGCAGCCAATTAGTGCATTGCAATGTCCCACAAACAGCCATGAAGTGAACGACCATTTATTTTGATCTGGGGTGATTGTTGGCCAGGACACCGGGAGGAAAATTCCCTTTTCTTTTCAAATAGTGCCATGGGATCTTTAAGGTCCATTAGATCAGCAGACGGGACCTCAGTTTAATGTCTCATCTGAACGTCGGGACCTTCGACAATGCTACACTTCCCCCCCTCACCAGCATTGCATTTGTCAGTTCCAACAACAACTTGCATTTATGTAGCCCCCTTCATGCCAGATGTCGTCTCGGAGCACTTAACAACCTTCTGACCTGGAAATGAGAGTGCTACTAACTGAGCCAGCCTGGATAGACAGGAACTTGATGCAGCCTCTAAACATAGATATCTAATATTTCTATAATAATAATACTTGGTTGAACAGTAATGCAATGAGGAGACGCACAAGGCTGAGCAGGACGTGTCAAGGCTGCTCCACAGGAGAAGGAGAATCAAGAAGCTATTTCGAATGAGAGTCCAATGAAACTATAACATACTTACTGTATATTATATACATGGTGGACACAATAGTCGGGGAGGGTTGGGGGTAGGGAAAAACACACTCTAATACTGTATAGGAAACAGTAGTTTTGCTCTCCTGTTCTTGATGTTGAAAACGGGACACAAGAGGAACAAATATGCAATGTTTTGAGTTAGCCTTTACGTTTATTGTTTTCCTTCACATTCCCACAAGTTTCTTTCCCACTTATCTCGTGCTACTGCTGCCTCCAGCCATAGGAACCCGGCACCTCCAAAACAACCACAATCACTCGAGGTAAAAGCAGTGTACGTGGCAGCACAGGTGATAAAATGACATACAAAACAAATAAGCGCGCACACACACACACAAACTGGGCCCAGATAGGTTCAGATAACAATAAATCATGTAGTTTGTCAGCTCAATCCTAAAAACATGTTATTGTCTGGCGGTGCATTCCATCCACTTATTCCTTATAAGATTTGGCAGAGTTCACGAGTGGGTGGAAAGAAAAAGCTCAGGTCATTCTCATCCATTGTTGAGTCAGTTGGTTACTGGCGGAACCTGTTACAATGAATAGATCCAGGAAATTCACTATGTTACGGGGAATAGCAAAAGCTCACTTTACAAATCTGGAGAATGTTTTGTATATAGGAGCTTTAACAGGACAAACATATTAACGAGCGTTTCTCTGGAAAGCTGGAAACTGGTGCATAAAGACAAGCACCGCATTGCTGAAGGGAAGACAACAATAAAATTACATTTGTGTAGTGCCTTTCACGTTGGGATGTTTTGGACCTGAGCTGGGGGTCGGGATCGGGGAGGGTGGAGGGCGGGAAGTGAAAGAGGCACAGTCTACGAGGAGGATCTTGAGATAGGGCTTGAAGCAGGCAAGGGAGGGGGTAAGGTGGAGAGGCTGTAGGATGGAGTTCCAGGGGGTGGGGACAGAGTGGCTGAAAGCCCGCCCGTCAATGGTGAGGCGGGCGAGGCGGGAGACCTGAAGCAGGCCAGTGCCTGCTGAGCGGAGGAAGTGGCCAGGTTGGTAGGGGGTTTGGAAGTCACAGAGGTAGGGGGGAGCAAAGCCATGGAGGGCTTTCAAAGTGAGGAACTGTATCCTCTGTGTGATTGGAAGCCAGTCGAGTACGGCGAGGATGGGGGTGAGAGAGTAACGGAGTCTTTTGCGGGAGGATTACATTTGTATAGGTTACAGAGTTCACAGAAAAATAAATCAACTATACAGTAAATGGCCCAAGTCACAACACTCCAATGCCATGACACTGAACTTATCTGCTTTAGAGAAGACAAACATTTAATCCTGCGGATCATTGGAATGTCTCCCAGGTCCACGCACAACGTACAGTCGAGGAGGTAGTGATGTGGGGGGGGGGGGGGGGGGGGGGGGGGGGGGGGGGGGGGTAGTACTAGGGAGAACTGTCCAACCGTCCACATACTGAAATATCACTGTGTGTGTCAAATCCCATTCCTCCACAGAGGAATACTAGGAGGAAGTGTCAACACAGAGGATGACATAAAAAAATGCAGCAAGACAAAGATAGGTTAGGAGATTGGGCAGGTGGGTGGCAGATGAAGTATAATGTAGGGAAGTGCAAAGTCATCCACCTCGGGAACAAAAACAGTAGAGCGGGTTATTTTTTAGAAGGGGGAGAGATTGGAATGTGTTAGCGTCCAGAGGGACTCGGGTGTCCTTGTACACCAATCACAGGTTAGTCTGCAGGTGCAGCAGCAATTAGGAAGGCAAACGGTATGTTAGCATTCATTATGAAAGGATTAGAGTATAAGAGTAGGGAAGTCTCGCTGCAACTGTATAGGGCCCTGTGAGACCACACCTGGAATACTGTGAGCAGTGTTGGTCTCCTTATTTAAGGAAGGATGTACTTGCCTTGGAGGGGGTGCAGCGTAGATTTACTCGGTTAGTGCCAGGGATGAAGGGGATGAGTTACGAGGATAGGCTGACCAATTTGGGCCTATATTCTCTAGAATATAGAAGAATTAGAGGGGATCTTATAGAAAACTATAAGATCATCAAAGGGCATGATAGAGTAGATAGTGGGAGATTGTTTCCCCTGTTGGAGAAACTAAAACCAGGGGTCACAACCTTAAAATCAGAGGCAGCCCTTTCGCACTGAGTTGAGGAAGAACTTCTTCACTCAAAGGGCAGTGAATGTATGGAACTCACTACCCCAAAGGGCTGTTGATGCTCAGTCTTGAACATATTCAAGACTGAGATAGATAGACTTCTTATTGCAAAAGAGATTAAGGGATATGCGGATAAGGCAGGGTTATGGTATTAGCTGGAGTAGGCCATTCGGCTCGAAGGGCCGAATGGCCTACTCCTGCTCCTTCATGTTATGTAAGATACATAACACATGCTCAAATCAGCTCCTTAAGGTGGATCCAAGATCAGGAACTTAGTTGGGGGGGGGGGGAATAAAAGAAATGGGTGTCAAATTACCACCAAGCTTTCGGTTCTGCAGCACCAATTTCCACTCAAATCAATTTCACTCAACTTGTTCTCTGAATGCTTAAAATAAATTTCCAGGAAATCAGCTGGCTCCTCACAAAAGCCTCTGCTCCCAGTGAGACGTTACCTCTTTTCTCACCCCGCCCCATCTCAGCAACAATCAGGCTTTTCCCTAGAGGCAACGAGTTTGCTCCTATGCCCAAACAATGGCCCACTCAACCCTCCAGTATTCCTGTATGCAGCTTCTCCCAACTATCTCAATACAATACAAAATGACATTTGTATAGCGCTTTGCATGTCGGGAGGACGATCCATCCATCAATTCATTCTCATCACAACATCAATGTTTGTATAGATTGTGTTCAGCAATTTTTAAGGAACTTGCAACAGGAACTCAAATAGCAGCACAGATCTAGAGAGGGAAAAAAGAAGTGACACATTTCCCGCTGGTATAGACAGATGCAAATATCGCTTTGTATGAACTCCGGGTGGGGGTGGGGGGGGGGGGGGAGGAGAAAACAATCAACTTTTCCCTGATCTACATGGAGCCTGTTCCCGCACAAGGTGTAAGAGAATGAAACTGATTTTTTTAAAAAAAGAGATGGGCTCATCAATCCAGGCTGCTCACAACTTGCAGCAATTGATTACAAAGCAATGATGGGAGGCGCTCAGGAAACCATCTGCTCATGCTCTCAAACTGGACAAGGCGTATGAAGCTGGAGCAAGGATCAAACAGGACATCAGATGGACACCTTCCATTGGTTTAGTTCCACTGTATTGGAAGAAAGCAGATGTTCCCTTATTCAAAAAGGTGACAGAACTATATCTGGTAACTACAAGCCCATTAGCCTCACCTCAATAATTGAAAAAATTCCAAAATCAAACATCAGAAAGTAAGCGGAAAATTATCTTTACAAAATTAGTAAATGACAGTGAACATGGGTTTAGAAAGGGGGGGGGGGGGTCTCCTTTGCCCAACCTCAGACTTTTTGAAGAGACAGCAGCCTGAAATGACTGCATGAAGCCATATGATGCAGTATATCTAGACTTCTAAAAGGCGTTTGTCAAAGACCACAAGGAAGTCTCCTTCACAAATTGTGGTCATTAGGTATCAAGAGCAAGACATGGACATGGATTCAGAATTGGCTGAAGGGGAGGAAGCAGATGGTGTTTGTTAGGGGAGCTCGGTCAAAATGGGGAGAGATATTAAATGGGGTGCCTCTGGGGTCAAAACTGGGACTCCTCCTGTTCCGTGCATATATTCATGAACTGCAGACCCAGTATAAGAAAGTTACATTTGCAAATTACACCAAGTAGGGGAAGCTGTGGAATCAGAGGAGGCTGAAAGAGCTTGATTGGGTATGCACACAGGCTGATAACTGGCAAATGAAGTTTAATATAGATAAATGCAAGGTAATACATGAAGAAATAAGAATAGGAAACACACGTACTCTATGGATAGGTTAGACTTTGCGAAGGGGGAAGCTTAAAGAGATCTAGGACTGTTAGTTGACACATCGCTCGATATGCCAAAACAAATAAGGAAACAGGATGCTTGGTTATAAGTATTGCTAAATCAGTTAAGTTCAGATCACCAGATGTCATACTCCAGTTATATAGTGCTCAAATCAATGGAGATGATCCCCAGTATTAGAGGAATGAGCTGTGAGTGGAGTCCTGTAGCTCAGGGGTTAGAGCACTCGCTTTGCAAGCGAGAGACCTGAGTTCAATTCCCGGCAGAGGGCGAAACCTTGGGCAAGTTTCCTTACTCCACACAGAGCCTAATAATAATCCTCCAAAACCCAAAACAATAATAAATTGGTCATTTTCAATCTACGACTGTTTGTGGGACATTTCTGTGCGCAATTGGCTGCCGCGTTCGCCCACAAATATACAGTCATTTCACTTTACAGTATATTCTGTGAAGCGCTTTGAGAAGTCTAGAAGACGTGAAAAGCGCTATATCAAATGCAAGGATTATTATTATAAAACAAGCTAGGCCTCTTCAGCCTTGACAGAAGATGACTTAGATGACCTTATAGAAGTGAATAAAATTTTACATTGGATTTGTGAATCCAGAACAATACTTTAGGATGCATCAAAACAGTAGAACAAGAGGACATAGGTTTACAGTTGCAAAGGGCATTTTCAAGACGGACACCTGGAAATGTTTCTTTCCCCAGAAGGTAATTAACTACTCAAACAGGTTACCTTTTTGGTTGAGGCTGGGACACTGGACTCAATTAATAGTAATCTTTGCATTTGTCTTGCACCCAGGGAGGTGGGTGGTCTTCTCCCAGACCTCTGTCAAGTTTTTCCTTTGTCTGTCTTCTCGGAGGCAGGATAATTCGCCAGTTACAGTAAGTAGGGTATAACTGTACACTGATAAGATTGATTGGGTCTCAGAGAGTTAAATAATCTTATAACAATGCACTTTTCTGGATGGGGCTGGGAACAGATTAAAAACCCATTCAGAACAAAAGCAGCTGAAAACTGCTGAAATCATACAGTTAATGGATAATTCTTCCTTCATTTCTGCTGACCTCAGCCAGATATGACGAGGCTTTGCTGTTTGCAAGCTAGTTACAGTAAAACAATTGTATGCAGATGTGACAGATGTGGAGAAGGGAATAGAGGGGTGTGGGAGAGGAGATTAGGAAGGGTAGATACTCATGTGGAGTATAAACAAACAGTGACACAAATTGGTTAAGAAATAATAACCTTTACATTTGATAGAGCCAACATCAGGAAAAAATCCAAACATAACACATTACCTTACACCTTGCAAAGAGCTTAGCAAGATGTAAAGTGGAATGATTGTATTTTGTAGATCAATGCAGCAGCCAATTTGCACATAACAATGTCCGACAAACAGCGACAAAGTGAGCAACCATTTTATTGTGGGACTGTTTGCCATGACACTGAAAAAACTCCCTCCTCTTTTTGAGTACCATGGCATCTTCAATGTCCATCTGAATGGGATTTGGGTTCAAAACATCTCCTCGAAAGGATAGAACTTCCAACATTGCAGCACTTGCCCCAGCAATGCACTGGAGTGTCAGCCTAGACTATATGAGTTCAAAATCCCTTTGTGGGGACACACAACCTTCTGCCTCACAGGCAAGAGTGCTATCAACTGAACCAAGCTGCCACATAAATTTGCATCGAATGCTTTGTTTCACAGCGCTCCGAGACACGATCCTGCATGTAAAGAGCAATATATAAACGCAAGTTGTTGTTTCCATGCTGTGTAATTCTTGGGTTGTGTGACAGCCAGCTAGATTTCTTCCCCTCCATTCAGCCTTACGGCTAACTTAATTAACTTGAACATCATCTAATCTGAAGATCATCTTATCTCAACATCATCTGAAGCGCTCTGAGACGCCGTCCGGCATGGAGGGCGCTATATAAATCCAAGTTGTTGCTGACGTTATGTCCCCCATTACTCTTCTACCCATGTATGAGAAGTGGAGCAAGTCTTGCTTTCCACCACCGCCTGAAAGGGTGGTGGAAACAAATTCAATACCAACTTTCAAAAAGGAATTGGATAGGAACTTGAAGAGAAAAATTTTGCAAGGATAATAATAATAATAATCCTTGCATTTGATATAGCGCTTTTCACGTCGGGAGGACGTCCCGAAGCGCTTCACAGAACACAGGGGAAAGAGCATGGAAGTGGGTCTGATTGGGTAGCTTTCAAAGAGCCAGCACAGGCACAATGAGCCAAATGGCCACTTCTGTACTGTAATATTCTATATTAGCTCCAGTGCTCATCCTGTTGAGCACTGTGACCTACCTATTTTAATAGCGCAGACAGTAGAGCCAGGCAAAAGACATACATGTGGAGACATGTGGAGTCCTGTGGCTCAGTGGTTAGAGCACTCGCTTTGCAAGTGAGAGACCTGAGTTCAGTTCCAGGCAGAGGGCGAAACCTTGGGCAAGTTTCCTTACTCCACACAGAGCCTAATAATAATCCCTCCAAAACAAAACAATAATAAATTGGTCATTTTCAATCTACGACTGTTTGTGGGACATTGCTGTGCGCAATTGGCTGCCGCGTTCGCCCACAAATATACAGTCAATTCACTTTACAGTGTGTTCTGTGAAGCGCTTTGGGATGTCCTCCCGACGTGAAAAGCGCTATATCAAATGCAAGGATTATTATTATTATACAGAATGTGATCTGTATTGGAGAAAACCAACCATTACATTGTATGACGATTGCAACCATTGATGCATTGGTTCCTGTGCTGTGCAGACTATGAAATAATTTGAGTGGCGCCTGAACATGATCTGCAGTGCCAGCCTAGAAATCTGCAGAACCTGCTGGTTTAACATTAACAGGTCAGAAGACATTTCGCAGAGCCTTATGTTTACCTGCGATTACCTATGAGGTAATGGCTAACGTCTGATTTAATCAAGATTAATAATTTGGGTGGAATCCATCGTGGAGCACATCTGCGGAAATCTGAATGGCCTCCTCGCCCACCCTGAAGGAGTCCTTCACTATATGTGAAGGTTAACCAACCCAGAGCCTGCTTGTCCATGGCTTGAACTGCTGATGCCTGGATCGCTTCATCTTTTATGAACCAATTGGTGTGTTTTGTGCGCTGATGGAGAAGGGGAGATACGGAATGGATGGGAGTCGCGGAGGCCCGTTTCATTTGAAAGCTTCGGTGTCGCTCACGCCAAATAAAAACACGAGGGGAGGGAGAGGTGGGAGGGAGAGAAGGAAATGAACTCCCCTCATCAGCAGCAGGGTCGCCCCAAGCACAATCTACAACGACCACAACCACGGGCCGGCGAATAAGCGGCGTCACCGACTGCACCAGCGCTTTATTTTTCAGGTGTGGCTGTGGGTGTGTGTGTGTGGCTGTGGATGTGTGTGTGTGTGGGGGGGGTGGCTGTGTGTGTGGGGGGGTGGCTGTGTGTGTGTGTGGGGGGTGGCTGTGGTTGTGTGTGTGTGGCTGTGTGTGTGGGGGGGGGTGGCTGTGTGTGTGTGGGGGTGGCTGTGTGTGTGTGGGGGTGGCTGTGTTGTGTGTGTGTGGGGGGGTGGCTGTGTGTGTGTGGGGGGGTGGCTGTGTGTGTGGGGGGGGTGGCTGTGTGTGTGGGGGGTGGTGGCTGTGTGTGTGGGGGGGTGGCTGTGTGTGTGTGTGGGGGGGTGGCTGTGTGTGTGTGGGGGGTGGCTGTGTGTGTGTGGGGGGGTGGCTGTGTGTGTGTGTGGCTGTGTGTGTGTGTGGCTGTGTGTGTGAGGGGGTGTGGCTGTGTGTATGTGGCTGTGTGTGTGTGTGTGAGGGGGGGCGCTGTGTGTGTGAGGGGGTGTGGCTGTGTGTGTGTGTGTGTGTGGTTGTGTGTGTGAGGGGGGCGCTGTGTGTGTGAGGGGGTGTGGCTGTGTGTGTGGGTGGGTGGCTGTGTGTGTGTGGTTGTGTGTGAGGGGGGAGGGCTGTGTGTGTGTGGTTGTGTGTGTGGGGGGGGGTGGCTGTGTGGGGGTGGGTGGGTGGCTGTGTGTGTGTGTGTGAGGGGGGGTGGCTGTGTGGGTGGCTGTGTGTGTGTGGTTGTGTGTGTGAGGGGGGAGGGCTGTGTGTGTGTGGTTGTGTGTGTGGGGGGGGTGGCTGTGTGGGGGTGGGTGGGTGGCTGTGTGTGTGTGTGTGAGGGGGGTGGCTGTGTGGGTGGCTGTGTGTGTGTGGTTGTGTGTGTGAGGGGGAGGGCTGTGTGTGTGTGGTTGTGTGTGTGGGGGGGGTGGCTGTGTGGGGGTGGGTGGGTGGCTGTGTGTGTGTGTGTGAGGGGGGGTGGCTGTGTGGGTGGCTGTGTGTGTGTGGTTGTGTGTGTGAGGGGGGAGGGCTGTGTGTGTGTGGTTGTGTGTGTGGGTGGCTGTGTGGGGGTGGCTGTGTGGGTGGCTGTGTGTGTGTGTGGGGGGGTGGCTGTGTGGGGGTGTGTGTGGGTGTGTGGGTGTGTGTGTGAGGGGGGGGGGTGGCTGTGTGGGTGAGTGTAGTCTTTACAAAGGCTCTCCCCCCATCCGTGTGACTCCGCGAGACCTCCCTTCACCCCCCACCCACTAAGCCAATGTGGTCGGGTTGGGGCGGGTTCACGCCCAATTGGGCGGCTTTCGTGTGTTGCATCGTAAGCGGCGGCTTTGACCTGGTGGCTAACGTTTTAACTCTTTCAATTTAAAAAAAAACTAAACCTATGAAACGTCTCCCCCCCCCCTCCCCCCCTCCCGCCCCACCACCTTTTTTTCGAAAACGTTTGATCAGTTTTTTTGGGGGGAAAAAAAAACAATGACCTAAATTGGGCCATTCTGCCCATAGCCCAGTTGTTGGGCTACTTTTGGGCTCGTATTGAGCGGGAATTGGGCTACAAAAACGTATTTTAATGTCTGGCCGCCGCTGCCGCAACCGCCCCTCCCGCCCGCCCGCCCGCGCGCTGCTCTCTCTCTCTCTCACTCACTCACCTCCCCGGTGCGAGATGTGTCGGCACTTGAAGCTCTGCTTCTTTTTGCTGTGGAGCAGAGACGGGCACTTCAAGAGCAGAGTGGTGGTCACCACGTAACCGCCGATGGTCGAGAGGATATAAAGAGCGGCTGACATTGCGCCGCCCGCCCGCCCCGCAGGTGACAGACAGCGCTCGCCGTGAGGAGACCTGAGGGGGGGTGGGGGGGGGGGACTAAATAACTACAGCCGGACACTCGGTGCGGGGAGAGCACCGGCTGTCCCGCTAACCGCCGTTTTGTTTTTCTTCTCGTATCCGCAGTCTCTGTCACTGACTGAACTGAACTGACAGACGAACAGCCTCACGGCGCCTGCGCGGCTCGTCTCCCGCACCTCCACAGCGAGACGAGGGCGCATGCGCGCCGCTGGGCTGCCGCGCCTGCGCCGAAGGGGCCGTTTTTTTTCCTTTCTCCCCCTCCTGCTCGCGAAACGCACTGCGCATGTGCCCCAGACCCGACAATGCGGTCACGTGATTGGAGACCAGGGCACGTGTGTGGTCTCTGTAACAGAAGGCGATGTCACAACAACTACTACTACTACTTTACAGTGTGTTCTGTGAAGCGCTTTGGGACGTCCTCCCGACGTGAAAAGCGCTATATCAAATGCAAGGATTATTATTATTATTATTACTACTAATAATAATAATCCTCGCATTTGATATAGCGCTTTTCACGTCTTCTCGACGTCCCAAAGCGCTTCACAGAATATACCGTAAAGTGAATTGACTGTATATTTGTGGGCGAACGCGGCAGCCAATTGTGCACAGCAATGTCCCACAAACAGTCGTAGATTGAAAATGACCAATTTATTATTGTATTGTTTTGGAGGATTATTATTAGGCTCTGTGTGGAGTAAGGAAACTTGCCCGAGGTTTCGCCCTCTGCCTGGAATTGAACTCAGGTCTCTCACTTGCAAAGCGAGTGCTCTAACCACTGAGCTACAGGACTACTTGGATTTATATAGCGCCCACCCTGGACAGCGTCTCAAAGCGCTTCACAGAATACACTGTAAAGCGAATTGACTGTATATTTGTGGGCGAAACGTGGCAGCCAATTGCGCACAGCAATGTCCCACAAACAGTCGTGGATTGAAAATGACCAATTATTGTTTTTTTTTCGAGGTATTATTATTGGCAAAGATCAACGATAATAACACATTTATATATTTGTACAACGCCTTTCACCATTAAGATGACGTCCCAAGGCATTGGGACACCACACAACTTGCACTTGCATAGTACCCTTCATGCCAGACAGTCACAGAGTGCTTAACAGTGGCAGAGCCTGATGCTCAGATGGGGCCAAGGGCATAAGATGACGACGGTTGGCACGGTGAAGGAGGAAGGTCTTCAGGTGCGACCTGAAGATGGGAAAGGAAGGGACAAGGCGGAGGGATAGAGGAAGAGTGTTCCAGAGTTTCAGGGCATAGTGGCTGAAAGTGCGGCTGTTGATGGTGGAATGGAGGGCAAAAGGGACATGCGGCAGTCGAGCGGAGGGGTGGTATCTGTTCTTATTAGTTACAACAAAAACAACAAAATTACATTTGTAAAGCCCCTTTCACGTAAGGAGGACGTCCCAAGGTGCTGAACAGTCAGGGGGATCGGGACCCAAGTGTGGTGGGGGGCAGGGGGTTGGGAATGATTACTCTTGGGTTTTGCCATTCCTGGCAGTGAGCTCTGACTTTGAGGTCTCAGGTTGGTGTTGCCATCAGCTGTTCTGAGCCTCCCCCCCATGATTTATGCATGGGAAAAAGATTCAGCTTGAGCACAGAAATGCCAGTTCTCAATCCTTTGTTGGCTGGGATCAGGATAACCAGGCGTCCTGATCTGAGAAGTTTGTTCCATTCCCACAAAAGCAGCGGAGAAAATGGAGCAGTCTACCTTGAGCCCTTGATCACTCGGGTCAGCCTAACTTGCTCAGTCAGAGAGGCGATCCGACTGATTGACTCGCTCAAGAGGTTGCGATGCAAGGAATCGGGTCTATGCTATATTTTGACGGTTAGGGTTTGGGAGTATGGGTTGCCTTGTGGTAGTTTATTGGGTGTGAGCACTAGATGCGTACAGTACACTTGTGGTATACGTTTATTACACCCCTACCCAAAGATCAAACCCCAAGGGCTAACCTTGTTTTCTCTTTCATATGTTGGTTACAGTGTTGTTGACATTGTTACCCATTTCCAGCTGTTGAGTTTTTATTTCACACTTCCAGAATTTACAATTTTTTTAAAAAAGTCTGCAAATTGATTGAACATGAGTAAGCAGATGCTCCTTGGGACTGAACTGGCTGAGATTACACACACATGAAAAAGCCAATTATGCCCACAGAAGTATAAGGAAAAAACAAAAGGTACAGATGTGCAAGAAGTAGTAAAGGTAGGGAAGGTCTAGGAGGAAAAATACCACACCATGTCCTCCAACCATATTGTCACTGAACCTGTTTAAACTTCCTTCTCACCCTGAACAATGTTTTCTCAGCAAAGGCTCAAAGTTCTTCTTCAATGGATTAAAAGCTTAATAATAATAATAATCATCCTTGCATTTGATATAGTGCCTTAAAGCACTTCATAGAATATACTGTTAATCACTAATCAAAATTCTGCCTCTTTGGAGTACAGGGAATTGGAAATCCACCACCTGTTAATACCAGCAGTATCCTCGCCACCAAAATAAAGTTAAACAATGCATTGTAGTTTAAACATTTTTTTTTCTAATTGCACTTTAATTCATTCTAGTATTGGAAAATCAATGTGAGAAGTGGTTTACATCAGGAGGCAGGTATCATAACATTGCAACTGCAAAGAATATTCGTATGCTGGGGAAAGTTTTCAAACACCTTCTTCTGCTTTCGCACCCACTTGCCACCCCTCATCCAGAGCTGTTGGCTTCACAATTCTGCCATTAGACATGGGCAAATCAAGTTCTCCAAATTTAAAAAATATTTACTTACTAGAGGATGAAGCAAGTAGACTTTTTTTTCTTACCTGCTTGTCCTCTTCACCTCACACCTCCACCAGAGCGTGCGCAGGGTCTGAAGCCTCAGTGTCTGAAAAATGAGCCTCATTACAAAGTAGAGATGAGAGTTGACGGGCAAAGTACTTATGCCCTGATCTCTGCCGAGACAACACTTGAGGCACTACAGGGTTAGTGAGAGGAGATTCAGCAAGAATTCCATCTCCTGATCGCTTTCAGCTACCCTTACTAGAGGTTTTCATGTGTGGATATTGGATGAGGGCAAAATTAAGATTTGGCTAAGATGCCCCAGTGGATAAATATCCAGTTAATAACTCACCACCAAGGATTACATTTGAAGAAAGACCACTTGAGTAAAGTATCAGAGAGTCCAGGGGAGGGGAGTGGGGGAACGGAATCAACCACCTTCTGGAGCAGAGGGCAAAAAGATGATGAGAGGAAGTAAAAACACAATGTGTTTAGTGTCAGGGATGTGAAGAGAACATGACAATTGCTAGATCACCAGAAAAGTCATTGTCTATGATCGTTTTTATGAATGAGAGCTTCTGGAATTGGATCTTTTTTCTATGCTGGCTGCATCTGCACTGGGCTGGAGTGAATTACTGAATTACTGAAACCTTGACGAAAGCTACAACAAGAGCTATTAGTGAAAACAAATCCACATCAGCCATTCGTGCTCATTTGGCTTGTGACTTATAAACTCTTAAATATTTCTGCCTGAGTAAGACGGTTCTTAAATGAACCACCCCCCGTTTAGCTGTAAACCAATCTGTCAACTAATGTAAGCATCACTGGACGAAAATGCCACTTGACTCTATATACTGTAGTATTTTAAAGCATCCAGAATTTGGCAAGTTCTTAAATACAGCGTTAATTTTGAAGTTGGGTTCTCAAGTTCTTTTTGAACCATATAAAATCAACTTGAAAGACTGGATTTAACAAACTGCTCCAAAATATTACATATATAGAGTAAATCTAGACCCATATAGAATTTCTACCCTTGTATGTTTTGCAGTTAGATTTGTACCAGCAATGATAACCTCACAAATAAAATCTCCGCTTGGTGAATTACAAGCTTTACAATTGAAGTAAATCACCCATTTTCCGAGGGCATGTTCTAATTTGGAAACACAAGGTAAAACAAGCCTGTTTTGGTCTTATTAAAGTCTATATAAAAAACAGGAGCAGTAATGCAGTGAGAATACTGAGCCACCATTCTGGTGACTCAGAATAGACCCATTTAAGAATAACTGAAATGGAATAAGATTCTCAGGGGTATTTTGGTATTGCAGAGTATATATACATTGTTGGACTATCCAACACTTATGACGCTGAAGAATTTTACACAATTTACCTAAATGGACAGACTCAATAACCAAACCATAACCGGTTCACGCTTTTCTACCTGATAGCCAGGATTCAGCAGTCCAGATGATCAGAATTTCAAGCTGTCACACTCTGATGGTAATTTATCTTTGAACACTCAATGCAGTACGGCTGTGCAAACCCAGTTTTATTCACCGGGCTAAAGTTATCACAACAGAGACGACTGGGAATCTGTTACAGGATGCAGTGCAATTGTGGGTTTCTGACAAGTCCTCAATGGCCAGTTTATAGAGCAATCAGAGCCCTGGGTTGGCTTTCCAGGATGTACTGCAATAACAAGACTTTTTTAATGAATGGTTAAACTTTCCCATTTGAATTCATATTTTGTGTTACAAAATTTTGTGTTACAAATTCATATTTTGTGTTACAAATACCAGTCGTTTAGGTGCCACTATCAACTCCCTTTACGGGCTCCCAGGACAAGGTGAGGGAGCTTTACTGGAAAACTCACAAAAGGAAGTTTTACCAAATGCACTGGTACCTGTACAGTTCTTTAATGAACTCCCCAATAGTTATCAGTAACTGTAACAGGATGCATCTGCAAACTTGAGGTCTGTTTTGATTGGAAACTGTAATCCTTTGGCAAAAGCAGACGTGTACTTTCAGACACCTGGAGACATGCCTGGCCTGGGGAGGAAAGAGTTCCCATCACTAAATTGTGAGTGTGAAGTTCAATCCACCTCAACTCACTGGCTGCAAAAATGGTAGGCGTGGGTGGGGTGGGAACTGATTTCTATCCATCATATGCTTCCGTGCACCATAGTAACTGAAGAATGATCACTGTGTAACAGCCTTAAGAATCCCCCGCATCACCCTGTAACTCATCAGTGGCTGGTTTTCCTTCGGAGGAAAGCACGGCCCGCGGTCTGTGACAAAGGCATAAGGGAACCGAAGCACCCACAGGCCATCTGGAGGGAGCACGATCTCTTGTTTCTCAGGGTAAAACACTGGGCATGGAGGGGGTCCTGGCTGCACCTGGAAGATAAAAGGAAATTAAATCTTTTTTGTGAAGACATTTTGACAATATAGCATTTTCTGCTCTCATCCTACTTTAGCAATTAGCTTGCTTTCCAAACATAGAGAATTATTTATTATTATCACGTCGGGAGGACATTCCAAACCACTTCACAGGATATACTGTAAAGTGCAGTGACTGTGTTTGTGGATGGACACAGAAGCTAATTTGCACACAGTTTGTCCCCAAAACAGCTTTGATGTGAATAATCAATTTTATTTGTGGGATTGTTGGACAGGACACCAGGAGAAACTTCCTTCACGTTTCTCAATTTCTCAACTCTTTTATACAAAGCCTATATTAAATCTGTGTTCTAAAATCCACACAGTCTCGCGTGTAGGCTGTGCAAACTTGCAGCACAAAGTGTTGAAGCTGGAGGGAAATGTAGAGTCAATCACCTCAGTTACCTCCATTCTTCCCTCCTGCCCTTCCGTCCCTCAGGAAAGCACAACCCAATTAATTTTGCACATGTCATTACAGTGAAAAAAGCTTCACACCTTGTGTTGCTACTGACATGTCCCCCAAGCTTGCATGCCAGGTGAATCTGAATTTGGATCTCTTATTGAGGAACGCAATCCAGAACTTTAGTGCTGTAGAATCTTTAATAATAATCCTTGCACTTGGTAATCCTTGCCCTTCACATCAGTATCGTGTTCCAAAACACTTCACAGGCTACATTGTGGAGTGGAGTGCAAATGCCCACGAATATTTTCAGCTGCAGATTATTCCTCAACACACTGATAGCAAACACATCATGATCATTAAACTGCTTGGGTGAATGTAGTGAAGTATTAACATGCCTCTTTTTCATGTAATTGAGCTTAAGGTCTCATCCAGGAACATGCCTCTAATATCCTTCTCTTGGGTTATTTGAGGTTCACTCAACGATTCCCAGATGTTTTGAAATGTTATTATCTTTTGATAAGTGCAGGTTTTGTAATTTTTTTTAACCTACCTTTTAAATTTTGGTTTAAATTTTGGGGGGATTGCAACAAAATAAAATGAACTAGGGACAGAAGGCTCTTGTGAGCAAAGAACAGAATCAAAATGTGATACGCGATTGAAACAATATGTATTCTTTTAATATCAGCCAGAGTCTGACCTCTTCCAACTGCTGAGAACTCGGAAAAGCAGATATCCGTTTGCTAGTTCTGGAGTGTACAATCTCTCTCAGGGTAAAGAGGGAGGGAAAGAGTTGGGAATTATATTGCTATGAACCTCCAGGTCGCAGAGTTCAATTCCAGGCGGGGCGAAACCGTGGGCAAGTTTCCTTACTCCACACGCCTAATAATTGTTAGAATTTACACTTTTCATATAACATTAGAATCATAATAGATGTTGCGAACGGGTTAACTTTTAAGTTAAGTGTGGGGGCAACTGGTCTGACACTCATGATTAACACTCAAGAGCAACAAAAGGCAATCCTCAAGAATAGCAGCTAACGAGCAAGTTGCTTAAACTAGAGGACCTTGGTACCATCCCGGGACACCGATAAGAAATAACCAGTCACTTAAAAGGAATGTACTAATGATCACACCTAACAAGATAACAAGCATCAGATAACAGGGGTTTTAAGGACAATGTGTATGTGTACTGAGGCATTACACCCCCATGAGGTGTTCACGTGAACCCAGCATGATTTCAGCCAGGTGATCTCATGTCCGAACCGACTGGACGAACATCGGTATAAGAGTTCCGTTAACTTTGTGAACGGGGCCGTCCCGGGTCGTGGAGATGGGGCCATCCCGGGCTGCGGAGACAAGGATACGGGAGATGGAAGACTGAGAGCCAGAAACACTAAGACTGAGGATATCAGATGGAAGATTGAAAGCTGTAAGCAAGAAGACTGAAAGCATGAAGAATCAAGCTTGTGTGCTGTAAAGACACACAGTGTTGAACTCGAGATATCTACGGTGGTATTGTTCTGTTATAAGATCTGTTGATTGTACCGGCCTTTGGTCTGACCCATCGGGATATTGGGGAATAACGAACGAATAATAATAAAACAGTCAGATATCTGGTTGCAAACGGATTATGGCTGATTTTATTTTCTAACATAATAATCCCTCCAAAAAAACAAAAACAATAATAAATTGATCATTTTCAATCCATGACTGTTTGTGGGACACTGCTGTGCGGAATTGGCTGCCGCGTTCGCCCACAAATATATGGTCAATTCACTTTACAGAATATTCTGTGAAGCGCTTTGGGACGTCGAGAAGACGTGAACAGCGCTATATCAAATGCAAAAGTTATTAGATAAACCACACAACCCATCAGAGGAGCAAAGCATCATCATCAGCAGGTACTCAGCTCAGAGCCCTGGCCTCTCACCCTTTCCTGGTAAACTCGATCCAATTGCTCATTACCGCCTTAGTATACAACAACTTGCATTTATACCGCACCCCTCACACAGGGTAGCGTCCCAGAGTGCTTTCAAAGAATTCATAGGGTCTATTCATTGCCCTTCAGAATTCTGAATCTGTACTCTATTATTCTGTTACTTGGCAAATCTGAAATTACTGAACGTTTATTTTCTCTATCCGGTTTAGCATTTACATTAAAAAAATGAGGTTTATCTTAACCCATTTGTTTCAGGTAAATGGTCAAAGGCCCCCTGAAAGTCTGTGGTTAAGTTAGAAATAACTCAAATGAAGTTGGATTCCTACCTGTGGTGTGAGGATGATTTGCAACGGGGCATCCGGAACCACAACAAACAGCCTCATGAGCTGGGCATAATGTGGCTTAGGTCCTCGGCCCTGGGAGGGAGACAGGATGTACAGGGGCATGTCTGAGGAGAGGGCTTTAATGGCCGACTCTTTTGGTCCGCTTCCCATCACTTTCATTATCTTTTCTGGTCCAGAGCACATGAACCTCCGTCCCCGGGAATCCTCGTACTCAAAGCCAACAAACGCACGGGCGATGTCATCCCTTCGTCTCCCTCTGCCGACCACTGTGCCAGCCCGTTTGGTGGGGACGGACTTGTTGGGAGCAGGCCATGAATTACTGTCCATATCCACTTCATCTTCAGGCCTGGTTTTGATGACGATATCCCATGGCATCAAGTAATTAGTTCCTGGAATGAAGCCACTCTGGTCCAGACCCCTGTGAAAGTTGTAAGCTTTGGAAGGGCCCAGTTTAATAAACGACCAACTGGAGAATTTAGGCAGCAGTCCTTTGGGACAACTGGAGTTGAGCATGCCAGGCAGGTATTCCACAGTTGACACTTGACGGTCCACAATACTTGGCCTTTTCTCTGGTTTTGCTTCTCCACCCTGGCCATGTGCGTCGGGATTATCCCCTCCTGCTTGGGGATCAGGAGGAAATGCACCAAGGCTGTCTGTGGACTGTCCGAGACTGAGCGCTAGACTCAGGCTGGTGCTCTCCCCCTGCGTGTGAGCCTCTTTCTCTTTCATTTTCTCCCCTTCTCCCTCCTGCGGGGCCAGCGAGGATGAGGTGGAGTCGTTCCTGGCTGGAGCTGGGTCCGGTGTACTGGGCTGGAAGATGGGGAAATAAAAATGCTCGAGCTTCCCACAGCATTTCTCTTCTTGGAGCTAAAAAATTTTAAAACAAAAAGTCGGGACTATTTTTCCATTTCTCATGTCCATAATATTTCATTACATTCTATAACTTTGATCTAATATTTCTAGGTTAGGTTAATTCTACGCTACACAAAGATGGCTTTATTTCTTAGCACAGTGCCAACTTAAATTTATAAAATTGCTTGGATTACACTATTTTTCTAATAATAATTCTCGCATTGGTATATCGCCTTATCACATCGTTGAGATGTCTCAAAGCGCTTCAAAGAATGTATTGTAAAGTGAACTGACTGTATATTTTGCCATCATCACACAAAAAACACACTGGCTATCACTCTTTCCAACATCAACTATTGGCAAACTGTTGCGGTATTGACAGGAAAGTGGGGGAAAAGGGAGGAAAAACAAAATATTTCACAAACTCCACAGTATTTTTGATAAAACTATTAGGAGTTGACAGGCTCTCTGAAGAGTGAAGGAGTAAATGTACCACATGATACCACAATGAATCCAACAAACCAAAAGAAGGTCTGCTGGATTCTCTCCCACTTAGTTAATTATAATAATAATCCTTGCATTTGATATAGCGCTTTTCACGTCTTCTAGACGTCCCAAAGCGCTTCACAGAATATACTGTAAAGTGAATTGATCGTATATTTGTGGGCGAACGCGGCAGCCATTTGCACACAGCAGTGTCCCACAAACAGTCATGGATTGAACATGACCAATTTATTATTGTTTTGTTTTGGAGGGATTATTACTAGGCTCTGTGTGGAGTAAGGAAACTTGCCCAAGGTTTCGCCCTCTGCCTGGAATTGAACTCAGGTCTCTCGCTTGCAAAGCGAGTGCTCTAACCACTGAGCTACAGGACTAATTCAGTCAGGGATGAAATTGTGGCATTAAAATTAACTTCAGGAGGAGGAGGGTCAGAGTGTTCCCATTCAGTATTGCTAACCAGACACCCTTGCTGGAAATAGCACTCATGAAGGCTGGACAAAATCCCACCCTACAGACGAATTAACCATTCACCTTCATTGTGGAGCCCTGTACAAGAGTACTAGCAACTAAGCCAGGCTGATATCCAGATTATTATTTGTGGCAAACATCTGAACAAAAATCACATTGAATATTTTTAAAGTTGTACTATATGTTACTCCCCCAGTTCTAAAGCTATTAATTCCACCCTACCCTGTTTGAAACAGCCTCCCAAGAATCTTCCTCTGTTACAAGCCACTAGATTTTCTCCCAATTTCTTTCTATCAATAGGAGGAGACGGAGATACAGGCATTGTGGTGAAAGTGTTGAGACATGCGCTTTCGTGTAAACGTAACAATTCAATCACATTGACCTACCTGTAAAGTACACAGACATTAATTTTCATACCTGGTAGAAATCGTAATTCGCGGATTTGATGTCAAAGGGATCGTCACGAGGAGCTTGTCTCCGGCCACAGTTGCAGGAACTAGTGGAACGAGCACGACTGTTGTGATACAGTACAGGTGGGTTCCTGTCAGGCTCTGGTTTTTCTCCTGCAATGAAGAAAAAGGACATGTCAAATAATTTTACTGATTTTTCCCCACTCCCCTTCCAGACGCACCCCAAGCAATGCAAGAGGGAAGGAAGGAGCCCCACTCCCAGGAATCAGCAAGGTTTTCTCATAACTGAAGCTACCTAATGGTTCAGTTAGCAAAGTCAGTTCACAATGTGAAACTGAACCATACAAACCAGGAATGTTCCAGGTTCAATTCCCTGTGTTTTGCTGAATTAGTGGAATTGGCTGCTAGAGACTAATTTTAAGAGCCAGTCTCGTACCCAGATAAGGTAAGAAAAAAAAACAAAATAACCAGAGGAACTGAATCCCATTGAGAAAATAGCTAAGGTTGAGGCTAGGCCACATGATGGCCCCCCTAAAACTTAGGAGGAAAAAAATTAATGAAAGTTCAAAGCAAGGAAAAGGGTCATCTTCAGTAGCCAATGCTACTCTGCAATCAACTATTCACCTACAAAAATACAGCCACTACACTTTACAGTAAATACTTGAAGCATTTTGAGACATCCTCCTGACGTGAAAGGCACTATATCAATTGCAACAAGGATTTTTTTTTAAGGCACACTGGTGTGATCGACGCTAATTTTATCATTATTTCTCAGAAGTGCCTAGCCTCCATTCACAATTTTCCCACAACCACACCTCCCCTCCGGCGAAAGAACCAGAGGAGAGATGAGGAGACATTTTTTTAAGCAGCAAGTTGTTACGATCTGGAATGCACTGCCTGAAAGGGTGGTGGAAGCAGATTCTAATAATAACTTTAAGAAGGGAATTGGATATATACTTGAAAAGGAAAAAATTGCAGGTCTATGGGGAAACAGCGGGGGAGTGGGATTAATTGGATAGCTCATTCAGAGTGCACAGGTTCTTTTTGATGGACTGAATGGCCTCCTTCTTTGATGTAAGATTCTATGATTCTGCGAACCGAGATTAACAACTAACCACCGAGGGAATTACTAACTCAGATCATTTTTTTTATATTGCTCTGAATTAACACAATGTTTTTGGTGACAGGCTAGTTGTTTATCTCCCTTTCCCCTTAACTCCCGCCCCCACCTTCTCCATTAAAAAAATAACAAAAAAATTGTTGAAACTTACCCCAGAGCTCACCTGGTTTCGGAAGCAGATGAAATTTGTGAACGCAATGTTGATCTGTTAAACTTCTCTCTTCACACAACTGGTGGCCATTACTCCAGAACTTGTAGCAATCTTCGTGGAGTTGCAAGGCATATTTTTGGAAGGCTGGTCCCCGGGCGTGCTGACTGTAGATGCGCAGGGCCTGTGCCAGCTGGTTCTTATGGATAGTTGTTGTGTAATGGTGGGGCAGATTGGACTGGTAACCACTATGAGCTAGTGGCAGGGCCTTTTGGCAGCGGTTATCAGAAAATTTAGTGTCCGCGTCTAAAAAGCCTTCCAGGGCCTTCAGTTGCCCTTGGATCTTGGCAGAAAGATCTCCAGAAATAAATCCAGCATCATCATCCTTTCCCATTATCATCATGTCATAAAGTTTTGAGGCAGCGGCCAGCCAGTTTTTATAGGCAGGCAGCTCAAAATGTGATGGCTGGGGATTCCTCCCGACACTATCCTCAAATCCCTTCTTGGTCAGAACTAACTCCACGTGTTGCCAAAGAAACTCCTTTAGGGTGCAGTCCACCAGCTGCCCACTGGAGCTGTTGGGGCTGCTTTCCAGTGTAAATGATGGCTGGCGGACATTCCTCATCATCTGGTAGCGCCTTGATCCAGAGATTGGGAGGGACTCGTGTTCCTTAATCGCACATGTGCTCCTCAGTTGTCCTATCAACATACTGATCGGGTCGTCCCCTTGTCCAGCAAGCACGTAAACAAACGCCTGGTTAGCAGGGACTGTAAACAAACAATTAATACTCTGGTTAGTCAACATCCGACTCTTTCGAAAAATCCTGTAAATCTGATCCTCCAGGGCGTGTTGCAGTCTCCTCTTGGGAGAGTGCTTCTTGGGTTTATCGAGGCTGGAGGGTTCCAAGCTTTTAGGTTCGACCTTCAAAGCTCCATTCAGCTGGAAAATAAAAAGAAGCCGAGGAGGGCAGGGTCTGCAGTTCAACCTCCACTCCTTGCCCACTGGGCTGTCCTTGATCACGTTCTTCAGGTAGGGCAGGACCTTCTGCCTGAGGCTGTCCAGGCCTCGGAACAGGCGGTCGTAAGTGATGTCGAAGGAGCAGGTGGGATGTACCAGGAGCAGGATGTGAGAGACCGAGAACAAGTAGAGTAAGTTGATGCAGTAGAGCTTCTCCTCGCTCTTCCAGAACTCGTGGGCTTCGGCGTGAGAGACATTGTCGCCCAGGGCCCCGCAGGCCTGGACGAGCTGGTGGTTGTCGCAGGCGGCGGTGAGGAGCAGGTACAGGACTCTGCTGTCCTGGTTGTAGTAGCTCTGCAGCAGGTTGTTGCCCTGGTGATGGGAGCCATCCGCGGCCTCGGGAAACAGGGGGAAGACGGGCTTGTCACACAGCGTGTTGACGATGGCGTACTTCTCGGCGCTCAGCTCGGACGTCTTGCCGAAGATCCCCACCACGCAGACCTCGTCGTCTTTCCAGGCCACTTCTTCCACGTCTGAGGCGAACGCGGCCTTGAGCGCCCTGGCCGTGGCCGCCGTGGCTGTGGCCGTGGGGCCCGTTCCCGCCGCCGCCGCCATTTTGCTCGGAGAGCGCCGTCTCATCGCGGTCCGTCCCCCAAACCCTCCCCGGAAGGCAGAGCGCCGCCGACAATCGTTCCGCTGAGCTGGTCCCGCAGTCACAGCGGCTCGGCTGGAAACGACAGTGGGTTTTTTTTTGTTGTTGTTGTTGTGTGTGAGGCATTTATTTTCTTCTGGGGTTCTTTTTTTCCCCACCCACACACACACACCCACCCACCCACCCACACACACACCCACCCACACACTCACCCACACACACACCCACACACAGGCCAGGAAGCAGTGAGAGGGTGTGTTAGGATGGGTTGGGCAGTGGGTTTGATAACAGGGCCAAAATGTTGGGCAAGTTTCCTCACTCCGCGCACCTCTGTTACTCGCGCTCGCGGCAAGCGGGGCAACCCGGTTGTTGAGGTCGATTGGCGGATTGCGTTGCCGGGGATAATAATCCCTAAAACTCCCTAATAATAATAATAATTCGGTCGCATCAATCCACGGCTGTTTGCGCGGACGCCGCCGCCCACAATTGTCCGCCGGGTTTCGCCCGCAAGATATTCACTTTACGGTATCTTCTGTGAAGCGCTTTGAGGCGTCACGAAGACATGAAAAGCTCTGTATCTAATGCAAGGATTATCATTATTATTAGTATTAGTATAACCTGCTTCTTTGGCTTTTATACAGAGAATGACTACTGAGATTGAGGTTCGTTTAAAATCAGAGTGAAAGATGGATATTTTAGCAGGAAAGATTTCCTTTAGGAAAGTAGAGACTGGGGTCCTGAGCCAAACGGGTCTGCAGTGCTACAAAGCACCTGTGATTAAGGGACCTGTCAGCCTGGCTTCTCAGCTGGATTTGGGAGGAGCAAACCTTGGGCTGGGGATTCTGTCAACATTGCAAGTTCTACCACTCAGCTCTTTTAAGGTTAGGATGGCCCTACCTGGACCAGAAGCTTGTCAGGCAATAAGACATGTGGTTAAACCCATTAAACTCTTGCAATTACCCAAATGCAGACTTGGGAGTCATCAAGGCTTGGCTCTTACCAACCTGCTCCTAAGACTTTCAGGGATTAGGGGAGCAGGGCGCATCTCTCTGGTGCATTCCAACCCAAACAGAAATTTCCATGCACCTGTGGAACTCCCAGTAGTTTGGTTTGGATGGTGGTGGGTGTCCACGTGTATCAAAATATGTGGCTGATCGAAAATAATTAAATTGCAAGGGGTTATGGTTCCATGGAGTACTTCATGGAGTAGCTTTTAGGACCTCAATCTCAACAACGACAAAATTACATTTGTATAGTGCGTTTCATGGTGGGAGAACATCCCAAGGCTCTGGACAATCAGTGTTTCGGACTCGAGCTGGGGGTCGGGATCGGGTATAATCTCAGTAGTCATTCTCTGTATAAAAGCTGAAGAAGCAGGTTATTAAATCCATAGCCCAGCCAATTTTAACACATCCCCATTTCCCAGTTTGTCACAAAATGGAAATCAGAAGCAAATAACTTTGATTTCTCTTTCACTTGTCTGGGATTCTAAGGTTGTCTTCATTCTGCGTATGGGTCAATATGCCACAGAGTGAAATTTATCCAGTCGTACTCAGCTAGTGGGAGAAAGCCCTCATTTGATCAAAGACAGGCCTACAAGTGCCACACAACCATGAGTGCAACAATTATTTAAAAATTAAAGTTATTTTAATATGGATCACTCAGAAAAAAATCCATGCATTAGTGGGTTTATGCACTTTCACTTTTGTAACTGCTACTGCCTTTTCACCAGCCCCAAATAGAGCTTTGAGAAATTTCCTGGTTGCAGCTTCCCTTTAAAACACACTCTTCAAAAGGGCACTGGGGATTACGCAGAATGCCACAATGTCCACAAATCAAACTACAATAGGATCGGTTTAGGTTTCATTATAATCCTAAATGATGTGACTTTTCAGGGCTACAATGTTCAATCTTTTTATTTGTTTGCATCTTTGATGCTTTGTAAGCATCAAGTGTGTCTACTATGTAACTTGGTGTATGAAGACTCATGAAAGTGCAACATTTTCTCAATCACAAAACAAACATTTATGCAGAGGGGGTAACTGAAAAGCCTCTTTTCTGCTCCCTGCTCTCCATTCCAATGTAATCAGGGTAATTAAAGCGTGTGGGCCATTCTATAGTTGCCTCGGGGAAAGGGGCTGGGAAACAGAAATTATAATTTAATGTCCTCAGAATTGTCCAGATCAAAACAGAGGGGGAAAAGTCAAAATACAAAGCACGATTAAGTGACTATTTGGTTTATTAAATACAGGCATAAAAACAAGTTAACATATTAGAAAAACGTTGGCCAACAGTCCAAAATACACGAGAAAGTAAACAAAAACAGTCAATACAAAAATAAGCAATATTAAAACCTGCAACATATAAAGAAACCTGTAATATTACACTGTATGAAACCAGAACCAGTGCAACCTTTAATACTTCGCTTTGAATAGTTTTACATCACAATAGCTGCATTGGTGACCACCACAATGAGCTATAACCACTTTATGTGCCAATGTAAGTGATGAATGTGCAAATCTCAGGTCTTTTTAAAAAAAATCAAGATCAAAGCATTGTGTAAACAAATTGTAACAGACTCCTTAGTCAATCTCAATTAGCAACCTTGAGTAAAATATTAAACTATAGATTTCACTTTTAAATATCCATATTTATTTAAACACAGCATATTGAAATTGATAGCAGACTTTACCAAACCTTAGTGGTATTTAATAGAAACCAGATATTATATAAATAACAGTGCAAGTATAATATTTGTTCCTTTACTACTGGTCAATGCTCAATATATATGAATTCCACTGCTTAACTAGTGGTTGTTATCTTGAATAGACTCCATTTGCGACTAATATTTCACGGTTAAAGAAGAAAAGCTTGACTACAAAACCAGATCAGCACGTGAACTCAATTCATGGAATTATAATCCAAAGAAAGCTACCAATATAAAATGACTTTGGCTATCTAATTCTTAAGACACACAATAAGATGCATACAAGATTAATTTCTGGCTACTATAATCGTGGTTACTGAGGATCAGTGGTAGGCTGCGTAGATTTGCTGGGAAGCACTGATCATACTCTACACAAAATGGATACATTTGCCATAAATTGAGAATAGGGCAGTATTAGATTTGAGGGTGAAATAGTCTGAAGACTTACTTCAATCATAATATCTCCCCTTGGCCTCCCAGTTACCTGGTACGTAAAAATAAAAAAGTAAATACTGTATATCAGCATTAGACATATTTTCCCAATAACTAGTCTGAAGCATTACATATGAAATTTATTTCCACATAGTGTGCCTTTTGTTCTGTAAGCAGGCAAACATGGTAATAGCAACATCACCAACAAGGTGTCACTAGGATCATTTACATGGTATTGGGTTGACAGTCAAACACAAATCTCCCCACATCAAACTTTTTGAAAAGTTTAGAAGTAGACAGATAATTCAGCATAGTGGCAAATTCATTTAGGCATAAAACAAGTTGCAGTCTCTCAAACCTGATGAACCTACTTTTAAAGATGGTTAAATATATTCTGTAAAAATGGACATTTGGGAAAAAAGTCAATGGGAACAATTTAAAGACTCTGATGGATCCCTCCATCAAATCAGCATTTTTTTTAAAAAAAAGTATGCAATAATCAGAAGGTATTCTTAAGTGCAAGACAAGCAGCGAGTTGTATTTTTTTAGGGCAGTGATGTTGACCCCTTCTCCTTCATAGACCCTACCATAGCCCCCCTGCCCCAAGCTCTGCACTTTTTAAAGCGCTTCTCCATTGAGCCATAAACATTTCCATTGATTATGTAAAAAGTGATAATAATCCTTGATGTGGAGTCTTATCATGTCTTTGAAATGTCTCAAAGTGCTTCACAGAATATATTGTAAAATGAATTGACCGTTTATTTTGTGGGCAAAACACAGCAGTGTCCCACACACAGTCGTGAATTGAGTGACTACATTTTCAAAAAAAATATTTTTCTTTGAAGGGATAACCCCACTGAGTACATTTATTTCCTAGAATTTGTGAAGCTGCAACAATTATGGCGTAAACTAATCAAGTCCAGTCTATAATAATAATAATAAGAAGAAAGTCCATATGGAGTTCGACCAAAAATAACCCACACCTCTGAAGAAAGAAAATCACCCACGTCTATGGGGGAGAAAATGGGAGAAAAGCACAAAACATAATCTGCAGTGATAGTAACTGAACAAAACCAATGGCATGCCTTACCTGTTGTCATCAAGCAAAGTTCATTTCACTTTTTAAATCACAATTAATGGATACATTCTGTACACAGGAGATTATACTTTTACACGTGGCTCTCAGGTAACCTTGTAGCAAAGGCTCTGCCTGATATTGTAGAAAACTGAACAGACCAGAAGGTTTCCGGTTGGATTCTGCTTGTGCTGAATTAACTAGGCAATAGAATTAGCTTTCAAGTTTCTGGAAAGGGGAGGGAGAAAGAACAGCTAAGGTGTCTGATCATTATCCATTCCCCTCTCTTGCAAAAGTTGAATGCAGGGATGTAAGGGAACAACAACGTTATGTTTTACTATCAGCCTCAAATAACCTGTCATGCTTACAGCAAAGAATGGCCTCAGCAATGAATTTTAACCATAACAGATATATATTAAAAGTTCATGACCCAAAGGATGATCACACTCTCAGTTTTCATATACAAGTATAAACATTTCCCCCAACTCTCCCTCTCGCAGCCAATTGAGCACAGGCAGCAGACATTATACGAGTAAAATCTCCCAGCATATGAACTTTAATATTTTGTATCATTTGGAATGCTATAAAGTGTGATTACTGGGAATTGGGGAAGTAGTTGTATTCTAGTCCCCAGCAACATCTGTACTGCTGGCCTGTCCATATTTCTGTTGGTTACAAGAGCAGACACCTGCCTAATGAAAGTCAGACCAGAATTTGGGATAATTTATCGACTTCAGTGCACTGCTGCATATGTGAACGCATGGTACTTTATCATGTTCCAAAAGAATATTCTTTCAATGGTCTGAAGAATTTTTCCAAACTAAGTCATATAATTAAGGGAGATGTAGAGGGATGAATATCAAAGATATTAAAATGGACGTAAACTAATTGTGCTGACCAAAAAACACCATAGGCTCAAAATTTCATCGAGTCTAACCTTGTAAGACTATTTTGCATTAAACGTTTAGAGCAGTATTGTGGAAAATTCGGAAATTCAGTCTTAATGTGAAGACACTTTTCCACAGTTCTTAAAAAGAATAACCTTAGAATGGAATTTAATAATTTTCCACAAATCTGTAAATGTAAGATTAAAATGGTCTTAAAGTCTAAAACCAGAAGGAATTTGGGGCTGAACTGTGCAATGGAACAATTTTTAGTTGAATTGTGATCTATCTTATCAGATCATTTACGATCGGTGCTGAAGTAGCCTTTTCATAAACACCACAACTATTTGCTTTGTGGTTCTTTCAGCTATCCCCATTGCAGCATCAAGCCTACAGATTCATACACTTAGAAGCAGTATTTAGTTAGCAGCATTAGTTAACCAGGTTATATAGCATTACAGATTGAACGTTAAATAGAGACAATGGCACAAGATCCAAATCTGCGTTAGATCATTCTTCTGCAATATGCAAAAACAAGATTTACAAATTTTAAAAAGGCACAAAAATACAGATATTAAATTCTTTATAAAGATGTTTTAAAAATATTGCACAATGAAGGATCAATACACATTTTGCTCATCAAAACTCGTGTCTGCAGAACCATGAGGTGAAGGAGTTTTGGGACGAGCCATCTGGAAGAGTAGAAAAGTCATTAAATCAAAATACAATGTATACTACAAAAAAAATGCTATAGATAGAGGTCAGCGTCTGCTTTTTAGGAACCAAATTAGTTTCCTAGAGTTTCGCTATCTTTACTGCTGAAAACACAACAAAAAAGGCTTATTTCTTATGGCACGTCTAAAGTTTAAATAACTTTTCCCTCATCTTTTCCCAAATGCACTCATCAAATTTGATTTGGTTCTCAATTATTAAGAGACATGCCATATCATACATTATTTTAGGTCAGGGCATGAAGGGATACGGGGCAAGGGTGGGTAATTGAACTTGAGGTACAGATCAGCCATGATCTGAAAGAATGGCAGAACAGGCTCGAGGGGCTGAATGACCTACTCCTGTTTCTATTCCCAATTGAAATGATTGGCAAGATACTAGAGTGGGGTCTGCACTAGAACCTGGAGTTCTACAGCCCGGAATGAAATTGGAGAGCAGCCTGGTATGCCTGGTCCTTTGAGAAGATATGGGGTCTGTATGTAGCCACACTATACAGTGGAGATGTTCCTCTAAGAATTGTATTTGTTGAAATATCAGTTACAAATTATACTACCAAACCAAATACAAAACAGAATATCCAGCTTGAACAGTCGACTGAGAAACCCACAACTTTCGGCTTATGAAATGATGTCCCAAGAACGATGCTGAGAGGGGGGCTGGGATAGGGGTGTGGTGATCGCTGGCACGGTCGAATAGGAAGGTTTTTTTTTCAAGATGTCACTAACCCTTACTTTTCCACAATCCTCAGTTATAGCTAGTGTTTTCAAACCTCTTGTAAATTAAAGTGTCCTATCTTAACAATCCTCTAGATAAAGTGGATCATGGCTGTTTGTGGTGCCTTATAAATTTACCATCACAGAACTCGATAGCAACTCCTTTTGAAGCGATTGGAGACTGTTGGACTCAGGCAAATTAATGAATACAACACTGTTAAAAACCACAGGTAATTATTTAATTCAGAAGCAGGATGTGCTGGGTTTGTTCTCTTCCCTGTATAATGCATACAGTTGTTATGAAGTACAAGTTTCTGTTATTTGGAATAATACTGTAACATTCCATAACATGCTTCTCTAGATTACCTCAAACTTCCGTCTCAATGCTAGGGTCATTACAGGGGTCAATCCTGTCCCCGTCTCTTGATTTTCTTTACTGTAGAGAGGTGTTCCTCCAGGGCTTCTGCAATTAGACATATATAGTATTGTAAATTGTTAAGAGAAGAGGCAAAAAATGCAAAGAGACAGACAGATTAAGCGAAAGGGCAAAAATTAAGTATTTGAGACATCGTTCCGTCAAAGGCACGATATAAATGTAAATTGTATTGCAACTACAGGCAAAACATCTGACAAGGCTCAAAATCCAATTTAAGTTTATAAATCTTCTTCCCTCATCCCTTTTCTAAATACATTAGATGTAACAGATAGTTTAATACACTAAGATGAAATAATATTTAAATACAGAATATTTCATTTTGGACACATCAGTCCGTACATATTTACGGACATACCTTTCTATTGCTACTTTCTTTAGATGCCTTCGCAGGTCCAGCGGAAATTTATTTGGTGTCATTCTGAAAAAAAAAAAAATTAGATACTCAAAAATCAGCTTTATTTCTTTATAAACTGTATCCCTCTAAATAACAACAACAAATTACATTTGTATAGTGCCTTTCACGTCAGGTGGACGTCCCAAGGCGCTGCACAGTTGGGTCATGACCCGAGCAGGGGGGAAATGGTCAGGGTGAGGGGAGGGGAGGGAGCGAGTGGGGGGGGGAAATGGTCAGGGTGAGGGGAGGGATGGGAGGGAGCGAGAAGGGGGAAGAGAGTCGAGAGGGGAGCTGAAGGCTCGGTCAAAGAGAAAGGTTTTGAGACCGGCCTTGAAGGAGGAGAGGGAGGAAGCGGCGAAGGCACTGGGGGATAGAGTTCCAGAGCCTGGGGGCTGAGAGGCTGAAGGCCCGACCACCAATGGTAGGGCGATTGGGGCGGGGGACGTGGAGCAGACCGGAGCGGGAGGAACGGAGGGTACGGGCAGGTAGGTAAGGGGATAGTAGGTCGGAGAGGTAGGAGGGAGCGAGGCCGTGAATGGCCTTGTAGGTGAGGATGAGGATCTTGAAATCAATCCTCTGGAGGATGGGGAGCCAGTGGAGGCGAGCGAGGGTGGGAGTGATGTGGTCCCGAAGCCTGGTGCGGGACAGTACACGAGCTGCAGAGTTCTGAATGACCAAGGCTCTGGACAGTCAGGGATTTGGACCTGAGCAGGGGGTTGGGATCAGGAGGGGGGGAGGGCAGGGAGAGTAGGGGTAGGAGGTTTCCGTAGGCCCGGTCGAAAAGTAGGGTCTTGAGACATGCCTTGAAGGAGGCAAGGGAGGGAGCTTGGTGAAGGGATTGTGAGATGGAGTTCCAAAAGGTAGGGGCAGAGAGGCTGAAGGTCCAACCCCTGTTAGTGGGGTCGGCCGAGTGAGAGACGTGGAGCAGCGGGAGCGGAGGGAACGGACAGGTTGATATGGCAAAAAGAAAAAGCATAATTATGCATATTCTGGTTCTTACTTAGCCACTGCTTTTTTCTTTTTATATCACCTGGTCAAGTGCTCTGAGATGCTACCCTGCATGGAGGGCGCTATATAAGTGCAAGTCGTCCTGTTTTTTTTTAAATAATCGTTTATACTTCATTAAAGAGTACTGCGGTTACAAACCATGTGAATATGGATATTGGAATTTCTTTTGTTAAAACTATAGCAAAACCACATTTCTGCAATATTGTGGAACAATTGAAATCAAAGATCACAATGTCTTACGTTATTTTTCCCGAATTCAGCCGGAGGTTGGATTTAGCCCGCAAGCTGAAGTTTTGTAGATCAGAGATTGTGACCAAAGGAGAGCGTTTTCTTCCTGGCGTTTCCATCTTTAAACAAAGCACAATTTAATGTCAATAAAGGTAACAGTAATCCTTTTATGAAGCCACCATAAGTGGGTATAGAGGAAAGAGCGTCACCTAATCACGTGGAGAGCGAAGGGGGCATGTCTCTTGAGTATTATGAATGGGAACTCCGCCCATTCATGTTTTGACTGAAGCACAACCACATGGCTGCAAGAGCAGTGGTGTACTGAGGGTTGGGGTGACTGTGTGCAGTGCAACATTTGAAGCAGGCTCAGGGAACAAAGTTTGGTGCTTGAGGGCAAACTTTTTACAGTATGTAGGATTCATCATGCCGACACAATAAATGGTCTGCTTGGCTTGTCCAACAGGAAGAACAACAATATAGATCATGACTGGCTGTTTCAACTTGCCCGCAATAGTAAAACCAGACCACACGCCCTGCAATTGAAGTGGGGTAAATTCAGAACGAATCTATGCAAACACTATTTCAGTGAGTGAATGATGAACCTGTGGAATGGGCTCCCTAGGGAGACAGCTGAAGCAAGAAATGTAAATTTTTTCAAACACAGATCGTTTTCTTTTAGGAAATAATATTAAGTATGTGCATGCGACCGCCAGGAAGGTGGAAGGCAAACTAGATGGACCTTGGTCTTTTTTTGGCTAGCATTTCTTGTGTTCTTATGTAACAACTTGCATTTATGTAGCGCCCTCACGCAGAGTAGTGTCCCAGAGTGCTTAACAGTGACGGAGCATGGCTCTGAGGGAGGGGGAGGTGACCGTAGAGACGATCGAATAGGAAGGTCTTCAGGCACAACCTGAAAATGGGGAAGGTAGGGGCAAGGCGGAGGGATAGAGGAAGAGTGTTCCAGAGTTTCGGAGCATAGTGGCTGAAACAGAGGGCATGGGGAACATGCAGCAGTCCGGAGCCAGTTGACCAGAGGCAGTGGGTTGTGGGTTTGGGGACTAAGCAGGTTGGAGAGGTAGGAAGGTGTCAGAGTATGAAGGAATTTAAAATTGAGTGTGAGGATCTTGAAATCGACCCTTTCGGTGAAAGGTCAAAGAATGTGTGTTAAAATGAAAGCTCACCTTCGTTATTGCTAATTCCCTCTCGGTTTTTCTCAATCTCACTTTAAGTAAGTCTTTTACAGTCACCGATGGTTGTCTATTCATGCTGTCAGGGACTACCTAGAATGCCACACGAAGAACAATTACAATAAAATCGTACATTTATGGAGTGCCTTTCATGTTAGGAGGAGCTTCCAGTCTAAAGCTTGCACCAGAAGGTGAGGCCCCAAGGGTGAGGACAGCGAAGAGTGTAAGGGCAGGGGAAGATGGCCAAAAGCACGGTCAAAGAGCAGGTCTTGAGGCGATTACAATGTAAACCAGGAACAATGCAACAGAAACTTCTTTGAGAAGTGCATATCTTAGTTACCTTTAATTTAGTTTCGGTCTTCCTCAGTTTCACTTTAAGTAAGTCCTTCAAATTCACTGATAATGGTCTACCCTCCTCCTCTGCAATGGTCTAGAAATGTCAGCAAGCCATTGTTAGAATTTAAATGAACAATTATTTTTGAAGTAGCTTTAATAGATTCAGATATGGACATTTATGTCTCTCTATGGTGATTAATTGCAGTTTTAAAATGCTTATAAAAATGGCATAAGATTTTATTTGACTTTGCAAAATGACAAACGAAATCCATAACTGAAGCAAGCACTCACCCGTAATTGTTTTTCATTTCCTATTTTTCGAATCTGTAAAGGCTTCTTTAAGCTTATTGAAGAAGGAGGTAGTGGAGGTGGAGGTGGTGGTGGGGGTGGGGGAGGAGGAGGTTGGGGAGATGGCTGTAGCTGTACATTATGGCTAATAATTGGTTGGACAGGCCATATTGGTATTTTAATAGGACCTGGGGAGAAGTCGCTACACTTTCGACAGCAATTCATTTCAATAGCCTTTGCATTATTGCACTCCTGTAAAACACAGAATAGCAGAATTCACTAACAATGGAAGAGATTTCAGTCTATTTCATAGTCCATTTTTGTATCCATCTACTCGTAGTTGATTGGACAATTTATACAATAAACTATTCCATTTTGTTTCAAGCAACAATATTTTAAAGTTTAAAATAGTTTAGCCACTTAGTCAAGAAATATGGTTATTGAAATATGGCAATAAGCCCCTTAACAGTAACTCAAATATGAAAAACAAAGGAATCCAGGTCCAGGAACGTTATATGAGACTGAAGTACTGTATGCATCGTTTAGTGCGGCAAAGAATTCTAAAAAAGTCAGAACTACAATCAGACAATGTGAATAGTTTATCTCAGATATTTCACTGAAGTTTCTGTGTTAACACATGAAGCTCTCAACCATGGCAGTATAAACGGGCGTCCTCGGGACTCTGGGGAAAAAAATTCATCATATGTTAATTCTCGCTGAAATGTGAATATGTAAGAATGTTCAGTAAGAACAGGATCAACCTCAAATATATCCTCCATAGGTGACAGTTGTTGTGCCATCAACCCAGTCCTGCCAACACTCTGCTTCGTTGGGTGTCCCTGGACCCAGAGAGATACAATACTTCAAATTGAAGTCAGTATTTATTCCACCAGGTGGCAGTCTATTCTATAGGTCTTAAATAAATCAACTTGTGGCTTCTTCATCTTATAAAAAATATCTCAGTTTTGCACACAAAGTAGAAAGGCCTGGATCTACATGGCTGTTTAACCATATTGAGCTCTAGTCCAGCAGTGGATAAGCACTGCAAGATAGTGAAAAAAAATCTGGTTGTTTGTTTACCTACCCAGTTGCTGAGTCACAATAGACATTTAAGTGTTGTCCCTTTCCTCTGAAAAGCTGCTTTCTCACAGAACTATCACCTGTTAGTTCTTCTTATAACTTAATTGGATCTATTGTGAAGACCTGGGGTGCACCACTGATCACATATTCTAATCTACACAATTGATCAGTTGGACAGTAAATCAATAGTGGTAGATCAAGTTTAATGTTTGAAATCCCTTGCGGCGGTTTCGTTCAGACATTGCCATTACCCCAAGACTTTAGCAATAAGTCGTCTCTTGTGAGGCACTTTATGAGTGGCCTTCTAAAGGTCAACACCAAGTGTTAATTCCTCAAAGCATTCCAATGAATTTATTATGTTTCATCCACTTTTCATGAAGTTGACTTGGAATTGTGAGGTGGCTTTTCAACTGTACTCCAATTTCTTCTACTATATTCTAGATGCCCTAGGTTAATAGACTCAATTCCCAGAATTACATTTGACCCATTACATTATAGAATTACATTGACTCAGTGGGCTCCAGCCTGCTTCACGTTCCCCGCCTTGCTCGCCCCACTATTGGCGGGCAGGCCTTCCGCCACTCTGCACCCACCCTCTGGAACTCCATCCCGCAGTCCCTCCATCTCACCCCCTCCCTCGCCACCTTCAAGACCCACCTCAAGACGCTCCTCTTCGATCATGCTTTTAATCTCCCCGCTTCCCCCCCCACACTCCGTCATCCCCCACCGTGACCCCCAGCTCGGATCCGTAACTCTGTCTGTCCATCGCCTTGGGATGTCCTCCCGATGTGACAGGTGCTTTACAAATGTAATTTTGTTGTTGTTTTTTAAAATGAGGCATTTGTTACAGTACTAATTCTAATGAGCTGTGGAAAAACTACAGCCACAGCAGCCCTTAATTTTCCATTATGGTCTTGGGACACTCCCATGTGTTCCAATTGTCAAACCTTCCAGGTTCTAATCACCATCATTAATTTTTATTTCATCCATTTGCTTTAATGCAGCTCTCACCCCTTCAATTACTAAAAAAAACACACAATGTTGGTTTCTCCAGTGAAAGCAGAATCTTTAGGCCACTGTAAGCTCCAACATTTGCAACAGGCATTAAAACAATATAACACAGCAATACTCGCTATTGAGTTGTGGTACTCCTGTGGTCAGCTCAGTATGCTTGGATTACGTTTTATGAATACTCCGCCTCGAAACAGAAAATATTGCAGTGTTTATCCCATTTGTATGCACCAATTTCAAAAGATTTTACCTTCATAAGCTTTGTATAGAAATAATAATAATCCTTGAACTTGATATAGCGCCTTATCACATCTTCCAGATATCTCAAAGCGCTTCACAGAATATACGGTAAAGTGAATTGCCTGTATGTTTGTGATGTTTGAACACAGCTTGATGGGAAATGATCTATTCACTAGTCTTACTTCCAACATTCCTCGCAGTTGTAAGAGCTCCTTCTCGAATGTCTCAATCCGTTGCCCCAGCGCATTCACTTCCCGCAGGTAAACACGTGAAGGAAACAAAGTGTCTTTCACTACTTCAAAACCCTATAAAAGTAGGGAAAGAAACAATTTAAATTATAAAGCAATTATATTTGGTAAAAGCACATTGCTATTTAAAAATAATTATTTTTGATGATATTGAATCCAATTTTCTCATCACAATCACAAACTATTGCCCCCAGTCCAGAGCCTTGGGATGTCTTCCCAACATGAAAGGCAAAATACAAATGTAATTTTTGTTGTTGCTGTATGCAAATCATACTACTGAGAGATGCACATATACATGGATATTTCCATTTGTCTAACAGGAAGTGTGCACTCTCATCTCTGGATAGATGCACTCTGCTCACCTAATCTCAGAAAGTATTAGAAGCAGGTTGACAAGAACCAATGGTTGGGATCTGCAGAATGTGCTGACGTTTAAACAGCTAAAACTATGGAAGCTGAACCACGCTATAGAACTAGGAGAGAGTGGAATGGAGAAAGAGATAGCAGTGAAGATTACCCCTCCTCATTCAACTCACTCTGAGGCACAACTATCTGAGTTCAACACCTCAGTAATTTTCACTGCTATATCGTTCTCCATTCCACACAAAGACATATATACAAAATGGTGATGAATACAAAATATGATTTGAAGACAATCCCGCCTTCTTACAATGTTCTCGGTATTGCAGTGCCTAAGTACATTTGATTTATTATCTGTTTTTAAGATCATGAAACATTGCCCAGTGCAATAGAGCTCCAAAATGCTTTTATACCTGGTTAATACTGCTCAGCCACCAGCAGCACATGGAAGAAATGGTTGCCTTTACAGGGTTCAAGATATGCTTCAAACTGACCAAAGAAATGTGCCCGACAGGTATTGGCTCAAGCTGAGTGGAACTGCTGCTATACACTGATGAATCCTCGCTCCTGGTTTAAAAAAAAATCAGACAAGTGAACTGAATGGATCATTCAACTCACTCTGAGATCCTGAACTCAGATAGGCACAACCCGGTTAAATACTATTCCTGATTGATGTTCACATGTAGGCTTCTTTTTGTGGGCAATGCATAAAAGACTCGAGATGTTTTTTCCTGCAAGAAACATAGAAAATTGTCCCGGGAATAGCCCAAGGCAGCAATCTATATATAGTGGCTTTGAATATCACGGTTTAACAGAAATACTAACTTATTATAGAACTCTGGGTATGGTTCCATGGCAAGTAGTAAACCTCAAATACTTTGCCCAAGTGGCCATTATTCAGAAGCGAGCCGAGACAAGGAGCGTCAGGAGACGATGCCACCACAGTGGCTGCAGCTGAGCTTGATACTGTCCTTCCTCAACATTCATGCATGCATATGTCCAGCAAGGATAACCCCCCCAGCTTTAAATCTACAACTGAATGTAGGCTAATTGGAGCAATTAACTAACTCAACAAAGCCCACGTTTCAAACCTGGGATTTTCCCAATATATATAGTGCAACTACTCAGTGTATAGAGTCAGCTTGACTCGAGTGACAGCAGTCTCGCCTCTTTGGTTGAGCCCCCAGAATAGGCCAAGACTCAAATGCAGTGTTAGGAGAGCCATTCTTCGGATGAGATGTTAAACTGAGTCCATTTGCCTGTTCAAGTGGACATTAAAGAATTCATGACACTATTCAAAGAGAAGGAAGTTTTTCCTCAGTGTCCTGGCTAAAACAATACAGATTTACATAGTGTCAGGATGTCCCAAAGCACTGGATGTCCTCCAATAAGGTCACAAATGTCCTGGCTATTTGTGGGAGATTGCTATGCATAAATTGGTTGCAGTTAATATAATTACTGCAACAATACTCTACTCCAATGTACCAGTAAGATGCTTTAACATGATTTGATATTTATAGGTACTATAATGAAATTCAAACATTATTATAAACGGATTCACTGTGGGATACTATTTACATAGATCTTTTTATAATCTTACAGCCCTTTCCAAGTAAAACCGTTGAGTCCACAATTGAAGATATCCATTGGTAAAAGAACTGCTTACCATGACGGTTCAGGATTAGTTAGCTGTTGTTTATAGACATTTGGTTTCCTTTTTGCTAGCAGCCGTCGCTTGTTATCATTCCATGCCTTTTCTGCTATTTGTTTTCTTCTAATGACCTTCCACTTCCTGCGACGCAGCTTGAACTTGGGCATGGCTGTGAAAAGGCACATGGAAGTGAAATTTTATCACAACCTGTAAACATATACAATGCATAGGATCTTCATATTTTGTGGAACATTAATGTGCGCAATTGGCTTCCGCATTTCACCCACAAAATATAGTCAAGTCACTTTACAGTATATTCTTTGAAGCACTTTGAGAAGTCCAGAAGAAGTGAAAAGGCACTATATTAAATGCAAGGATTATTATTATTATGGATTTGGAGGGAAGCAAGAAAGGAAAAACCCAACTATTCTTTATTTGGTTTAAATATTTACTTTTTATACCAATGCTGGAAGCTCACTTCTATTACCAATCAGAAAATGGGTCACACTTGAAAACTGGTGACTTCAGCAACTTAACGGGGGACTGCCACAGCATAGAATTTTATTGCATATACACATCAACACATTCAGCATGGAGAAGACTTGAAGCAAAAGTACTGTAAATAGGAAGCCTCAATGGAGAAATGACTGTTGAAATTGTAACTCAGTCCTTAACGGTGGCATTATATCATCTGATGAAATCTCCTGGAATATATCCAAACCACAGTTGTCAACCCTATTTGGATGAGATGTTAATAATAATAATAATCCTTGCATTTGATATAGCGCTTTTCACATCTTCGAGACGTCTCAAAGCACTTCTCAGAATATGATGTAAAGTGAATTGACTGTATATTTGTGTCCAAAACGCAACAGCCAATTGCGCACAGCAGCGTCCCACAAACAGCCGTGGATTGAAAATGACCAATTTATTATTGTTTTTGTTTTTTGGAGGGATTATTATTAGGCGTGTGGAGTAAGGAAACTTGCCCAAGGTTTCGCCCTCTGCCTGGAATTGAATCCAGGTGTCTCGCTTGCAAGATCTCGTCGTGTGCATGTTCAGGTGAACATTGTTAAAGACATTGCATTATTAAAAAAAAACGAAGGGAGATTGGCCAGCAGTCCGACCGATAAAACTGGGACATTCAATTTGCAATAAACAATAATCCTTTAATTTGATACAGGGCTTTACCGAGTCATCAAAATTTCTCAAAGCGTTTCAGGTACATGATCCACTGCAACGCGCGACGACGACACTGCATTTCGTAGGCGTAGCCAATTTGCCCACAGCAGCATCTCACAAACCACCGCGTAACGAATCGTTAAAAAAAAATGCTGGACCGAAAAAACGACCGAAGTCCATCCAGTTCGCCTTCCACCTCCCTGGGGCTCGCGTGCACCGAACGACCGACCGACTGTGTCCCGTAATGTTATTTCCTAAAAGAAAACTATCCGATCTGTGTTTGAAGGAATCTTTACTGTAACATCTTCTGAAGTCCTTCATCCCAACGCGAAAGGTGCTGCGTCTTGATACAAGGAATGGTATTTTGCAATGACTTGTTAATGGACGAATCTTTTTTTAAAAAAAACCAGAGGAGGATAAGGGAAGGGAGAAGACAGAGAAGGGGGATGGGGTGGGGTGGGGGGGGTGGGGGGGGAGTTGTGGGTGGGGGGGGGGGTGGGGGTGGGGGGAAAGAGGAGAAAAACTACTGACTGACACAGAGTGAACTGAAAAGAAAATGTCAATGTAACATTAGTTACTCCATGTACTCAGACAAGGCTATTGACACTCAGTCATGTATGTCTAAATGCTGAAGTGAATTTACTTCGAGAAAAGCCCATAAAAACCGCTTCAAAACACACTCACCTTCACTGACTGTCAACCACCAACCGCCACGCAAGGTTTGAAATCAAAAAACGCTCGAGCCGGCTGGCCAATCAGAGAAGCCGTTTCAGGAGGCCAGGTCGGGCGCCCTTAGCCTGAGTGGGGGAGAGGGAGCAGAGCAGCGGCCAATAGGAACGCAGGGCTCTCGGCCGCGGCCCAATCACCTTCGAATCGCGCCACTCAGCCAATCAAACAACCCAGCGCATTTGCCGTCGCCCAATCACAACGCGCCTCTCAAACGGAAGCCGTCCTATCGGAAGGCCGCTGTGGATGAGCGGCGGTCCAATCAAAGCGGCGCCTGCTCTTCGGCCCAATCGAAACGCAGGGTCTGGCCAACAGCTGGCCAATGAAACGCCTCGTTCCATCCCACTCGGGAGGCGCTCCGTCGGTTCGCCTTTGGAATGTAAACTATTCAATATGGAGACCGCGGTCAACAAGCTGGAAGCGATGGTAAGAGAGGGTTTTCTTAATTTTGTTCAATGTTCAAAACCTCCTCTGGCCGAGGCAAACCTATTGCATTGGGCGGAGTAAAAGCTCGCGGACGCGAAAAAAAAGTTAAAAAAAATCTACGTGCCGCCCCTCGGTATTTTTTTCCCGTTAAAACTTTAATTTGTTTGAAAGCCCTCTCTCTCTCTCTCTCTCTCCCTCCCGCCCCTCCTGGTACTGATTTGCATCCGGGTAATTGGGTGCGAAAATGGCGGGAGCAGTGTTTTCCGCGGGGTGGGTGGGGGGTTGTGACTCGACTTATCTTTTTACACCCGCTGTAAAGCGAGGGGAGGGGGGAGGGGGGAGAAGAGAAAAACCTTTAAATTTTGACACCGGAGCCGTAAGGCGATCGCGCGCGCGCGCGAGAGAGAGAGATCAACTGGATGCATCGGCCTCGTTAACCGCGTGTGTTATCATTGCCCCTCATGTGCTGCTCTCTCGCCCTCGCGCGCCCTCTCCCCCCCCCTCCCGCCCTTTCCTCTCGCGCCCTCGCCTCTCCGCGCCGCGCGAGCTGTGGTAGAGTAACGGCAGCTGCTCGAGCGGGGCCGTTTGACAGATTCGCGAGCGACTGCGCGTGCGCGCCGGTGACGCGCCTGCTGCTCCGGCCCCGGGGCGGCCGGAACATCGGAGTACATAGCCCAAAGCCGACCCAACAGTAGCCCAATAGTCCGCGTCGTCTCCTCTCATATCCACACAGTGTGTGTGTGTATATATATATATATATACCGGCGCAGTGACCAGTTTAGGTTAGTGCTTTTTTTTTGTAAAGAAACACCGTGTCAGAAAAAATCTTAAAAGGGGGAGGAAGGAGGGGGGGAGGGAGAGAGAGAGAGACGTTTTGCAGTTTTTTTTATATAGAAAAATGAAGCGCCCGCCCGGCCGAAGCCGTTTGTTTCACGCACAAGCACGACACCGACACGCCCAAATTGGGCGTGAAACCGCCCCCCCCACCCCCAACCGCCCCCACCCCAACCCGGCAGCATTGTCCCCCAGAGGCGCCTTTTCAGATCACGTCGATGGCTTCTTTTTCCCTTCTTCCCCGGTCCGTCCGTCCCTCCCCACCACCGCATCCACTCCCCACCCCTCTCGTGTGGAAACGCTTCGCTCAACTTGCTCTCCCCCCCTCCACCCCACCCCCACCCCCCCGGGACCGACCGCTAGGGATTGCTTTTTATTTACTGGACCCCGTCGTGTTGACTGCCATCTTTCTCGCCTTTGCTTCGGGGTGTGTTTTTTTTAAAAAAAAAATCACGTTCACCAAACTGAGGCGATTTATTTACCAGGTTGTTCCGGATCCAGACGGTGTAATATTTATTTCTTTTTTTTTTGGGGGGGGGGTGTACGTGACTGAAAACCGCTTTTATCCCATCCCCCCCCATCCCTCCCCATCTCTTTATCAACCATTTATCTCTTTATCCATCCATTTCCAGTGTTTCTCGTCTCTCCCTTTTTTTTGTCCTGATCTGATCTGATCTGGTATGAAAAAAAATGCTAAAAAACAGGTTCAATTGTGGCTTTCGTTTATATATATATGTGTATACACCTACGTATTGGAGTCGAGATGGTGCGGGACTCCTGTCCTCTGGTTGCTCCAAATGAAATGTTCCTGGATCAAGAGCTTGAGAAGCCATAATAAGGAAATAAAGCAAAACCTTAAAATCAAGGTGTTGGCATGGAGTTGGTTCTCGCCCTGTCCCCGAGGCGCGCAAACAAACCAACCCGCCTTTTTAGAGAATGCTGTCAGCCAGAGTTGTCATCGTTCCTCTTGGTGTTATCCCAAATATTCCACCCAAGCACATATCCAGTATATGGCTCCCCGCGTGTGTGTGTGCGCGCGCATACATCGGAAGCATTTTTCACTGTGATCTGTTGAATTTTGCAACACAACTTTTTTTTCCCCCCGGGTCCTTCTTATACTGAAATGGGAGGGAGGGCCAGGATGGCATCTATGGTAATAGGCAAATGTGCAAATGTAAGATGCTGCCACAATACCAATGGAAATGGTGCCTTGGGCCTTTGTTGCCATTATATCAGACTGGTCACCTTGCTGATGAATTTGAAAAAAAAAGTCTTCTGAATGTATACGCAGGAGTTCAGAACCTTCAGGAGAAAACCTGGTGGATTTATTTGTTTTTTTTTAAAAAAGAATTGCTTCTTGACGATGTAATTAGAAAAAGCCCAGTGAGGCCCCAGGCAACTTTTTATTCAAGGGCGGAACCCTGGATTCCATAGATGCATAACAAACATTTAGTAAACTATCCACTTGAGTTCAGATTGAACTGCCAGTTTTATTTGATGGCTGTCGCCACTGTCATTTATCCATACTGTATTAAACAATGAAGTTATCTCTTGTATTTATCTTTTCAAGGTAGCATTTGGCTTAGAGCGTAAAGATGTACAGCCCAAGAAAGTGTTTGCTTGATGGCCTGGTGTATAAACGACTGGTTCATCCTGCTCTTTGTTGCACACATACCTTATTGACCTCGGCATTGGAGAAGATCATAATGCTGATTGTTATCCAGCTCCCCAGCGGGAGGTGCACGTGTGAATATAGTAGTGAATGAGTTTGGCTATGATGCCCCTGCAGTTAAACAGCTACTAATACTCACTGTCCAGGAAGAGTGGTTAATTTGGTGAGATACAGAGGGAGATCCTTTGGGTTGTACCACAGGGAGGGGAGGAGTAAGTCAACCCCTTCAAAAGTGAAATAGAAAATCTGATTTTTTTTTAATTAAAAAGCAAATCTCTGGAAAGGAGTCCTTTTTTGGGAACTGTTTTAGAATTCCCTGCAGGAATAAGAGGTCTCATTTTCAGTGTTGACAGGTACCATAATCGCATTTGCATGCCAGCTTCTGTGAAGGCAACTTAATATATTAGCTCCTTCAATATATATTGAAAAGTTTGGTACAAATGTGTAACGTGCACCGATTTCTTTATTTACATTACCAATTTTTTGTCTGTTTTTTGATACTATACCACAGTTACCCAAATCAGTACATCCTGCAAGGATTCCAGATACTTGCCTTTCAAGTTGATCGAGGATTTTAGTTTCAAATGATCTCTGAGCACGCGTGAGCTGTTTCTTGCATGCTTGTTTTTCAGATTTTCTGTTTTGCATTCTGTGAGATTTTGAGTTTCAGTTGTTTAGTTTTGGTGATTTTATGTGCTGGAAGCTCACATTTGTATTTTTTTAAAAAGTCCATTTTTAGTGTGTGCAATTTAAACATTTTATTTCAATATTGGAAAATCTGTAGTGTTGTGACCGAGCGATGTGAAGAATTCTTGAATGGTAACACTACTGGATTCCTCAGTAGAAAAATATGCATAACTGGAATGAGGGGTGATTTGGGTTGGTGGGGGTGGGGGGGTTTGGTGTGAAGATTGTGACTCTCCTGGATCTTCAAGGGCCATACCAGACTGAACCTCGTGGACTTTTTACCTCTTCTGTTGGTGATTGATGCCTGTTGGAAATGCCTTACCGACCTCTGGATGTCCTTTTGTCCGCTCGTCCACTGCCCTTTTTATGTTGTACTACTAGTGATAACAGAAAAAAGCAGTGCAATATTAAAAGGGCATTGGCCGGCGACTAAATCAATTTGTTTCAAGTGTGACATTCATGGCTAACTTTTCCTTTGAAACTTAAAATCTTATTTTGGGTAAGTTTGAGTAATTTGACTGAGATGAATTTAAAATTTTCTGCTAGGGACTATTTGGTTAGCAAAAATTGTGACTTAACAATTAAAAAATAGCAAACCTATAAAAATCCCTCTCCTTTTTAAGATATGGATCCCGAGTGTGTTAAATAGCAAACGTGAGGAGAGCTAAGGAACCTGTCATCTGTACATGAACAATTGAGAGCTGTGAGAAAATTACGTTTGATACAGCAGTGTTTTTTTGAATATTGAAAATAATCACTGAAATTGTGAGGGGAGAACATGGAAAATTATTTGGGGATAGTAGTGAGCTGTAGCTAATTTTTGTGCTTTGGCAACATGCTGTATATTTATCCAATGCTCCATCGCAGAACATCGGTCATTTATTTATTTATAGGTTTGTTGACAAATAGTCCAATTTGTCTTAATTAAAGCATCAACTTGGTGATGGCATCCAGTATCACTGCCTAGTTGGTTTAGGAATCTAGGTTTGCCTACCATTAATGGGAATATTCAGCACATCTTGACATCCCTCATGAGGAAAGGTATGGTTTCACTTTATTTGCAGCGTATATCTGTAGGTCTAGCATGTATTAACATAGATCAAACAAACTGTAAATGTAAAATGATTGGGGCAGCTCAACTAGATAATAATAATAATAATAATCCTTGCATTTGATATAGCACTTTTCACGTCGGGAGGACGTCCCAAAGCGCTTCACAGAACACACTGTAAAGTGAATTGACTGTATATTTGTGAGCGAACGCGGCAGCCAATTGCGCACAGCAATGTCCCACAAACAGTCGTAGATTGAAAATGACCAATTTATTATTGTTTTTGGTTTTGGAGGGATTATTATTAGGCTCTGTGTGGAGTAAGGAAACTTGCCCAAGGTTTCGCCCTCTGCCTGGAATTGAACTCAGGTCTCTCACTTGCAAAGCGAGTGCTCTAACCACTGAGCTACAGGACTCCACAATTGTTATTTTATTGATTGTGCAGGCATAAAGATATGTTAAGTAGAATCAGTGTCAAAGCTAAACAAATTGATTGGTTTGAAATTGTGAATACACATGCATATTTTATAATACATTATAGTTCCTCCTTTTTACTAATCCATCATGTTTTCCCCTCTTTGTTCACCTTTTTTCTTCTAATTGGAAGTGGTCATTTCTTGCAATACAGTGAGCTACCTGACAGTGGAGGCAGATCCAATCTCCTCTGAGTTTCAGCTGTGAGGTTTTGAACAGAGGCATGATTATCTTAAGGATCACTTCTTACTAGGCCAAATGCACATATGTGAGTTGCCTCCC